CCGAACTCTAAAAATAATAAATTTATTTGCTTTATTTCACTATCTGCTAATGAAAATCCTTTTAAATTATTTACTTTGATATACCTCTAAACAATAACATTGTTTTTATAAACAATTGCCACGATTGAATTAACAAAGTAAATGTTATTGTGCATTCATTTACTATGTTATCCATTAATGACGAATCTACAACATGTTACAGCAAAATATATTTTCCTTTTTCAACTTCTTCAAGAGTGCGCCAAGCGTAGAATTTTCAAAGAATTCCTTTTGTAATTGTTAATGAACGCAACCATTAGAGCCACGGCTCTTCGTATAAATCTGAGGAATACTTACGAGTTTCTTTACAAAGAAATTATAGGTATTTTGAATAAAAAGGCAAAGCTTTCACAAAAGTTTTATTAACAAATATTTTCTTGCATAGTACCTACTAAGATGCCTACTTATTGTTTTACTAAGTGTTCTGATATCAAACAAATGAAAAACTTTTTGTGTAATTCGTAGATATACCGTTAGATACTCAGATACTGTTATGGATATCTACGAAATGCTTTGTCTGGTCGATCTCCTAGCAGTCTCCTCAGGAAACCATCGTGATTAATTCTTAGTAAATTCCTCACAATGGGCCAATTGACCTCACCTATCCTCACTTACTAATATCCCGCCATATACCAATAGCGCAGGTGGGAGTTACCATTCTATTTTATACCCATAAAAAGTTCTCTCTCTCTTTTTCTATCTCTTCTCTACAAAATCTTAATAATATAATAGGACGATACCTGTACATGGAAGACATTTAAAAGAAAATATGATACAAAGGGTTTTGGAAAATAGGAGTAATAGAATAATACAAAACAATAATTTTTAAAATTTTTTTCTGTCTGTTTATCTGTCCGTATGTTTGTTCCGGCATCATAAAAAAACTAGTGCACTAAAATGCATGCTGTTTTTACTGTTATGTTCCTACAGGTCTGACATAAAAACTTGAGTATGTTTTATTTCAATACGCCGTCTAGAAGTGATCTATTTTATTAATTTTCTATTACTATTTTATTAAGGCCTTTTTTATTTTATCTAGGCCTATTTTGAGACAAATTAACGTAAAAGAAAGCAAACCAATAATTATTGACTCAACTATAAACAGTCCATTAATATTCAATAGATAGTCAAATCGAATACCTAATGGAGCGATTCCTAATTTAATTCAGGAAATGTTTTCGTGATATTTTCAATAAAACTTGATTGCCTTTTATTAGGTTATGTTGAAACTGATTATACAAAGCCTACCTATTATTATATCAATAGATATAGTATACCTACCATCATCTTTTTATTTTTATACCCTCATATAAAGTAAAGTAAAATTTATAGTTTCTTAACAATTTTCATGCATCCTATAATTGCAACTTCCTATACTGGCTATGATACTTATTCAACAAGAGCTTTAAACACAAATACCAACCTGACAATACCCTGAAACTCTGAATTTAATCCATTAGAAAGTTTAACACTAACTGGAATGAAACTCGAAATGTCGGCCATTCTGCGTGTCCACAAGAGGAACTTTGAGAGTTGGGAGACAAAGCAATAATTATGACCCACGTAATAACAGAGTGCGTTAATATCTTCCGCATAAGTATCCTAAACTAAATAATTATTTGGATCTATAATAGAGTTGTCCTTTTAGACCATATTTCACTCTACGCCATTGTGCAAATACTTAAGTAAATAAGTGGATCTAGCATAAATATTTCTTAAAATGCTATGTACTCATAAAACGCTATGTACTCGTAACGCACATGTAACATTTACATAATAATATGTCACTAAATATATTTTTTTTTCTCTAACCAAATATTATACAAACCAAATTTTTTAATCATAAAATCAATACTATACGTACCTACTACAATAAAGCTACATTATGAAAATATCTAGCAATTAAACATAAAAAAAAGCTTTATATTTGTATCAGAAATTAATATATTATTTAGGTATTATAAGATATAAGATTTTTCATCTAAACGTTTCATAAAATAATATGAAGCAAATGTCGTATGAAAAAATATAAACTGGTATTTTTACCACGTAAGGGACCCGGCGTGAAAATATAGATTAAAAAGAAATGACTCTCTAAAAACGTATGGATAAGTTGATAAATCACCTCCAACGGTCAATCACCTCGAACCCTTTTACGTTGCACATAATTCTATTCGTCTCGTCTCGGCCCTGGAGTGTCGGAAAATGTAACAAAGTTATGCAGGGTTTACATAATATTAGAAAACCTCCCGCTCAACGTAACGTCGTCACCCCATATAATCACTTGAAATAGGTAGCGTATGAGAAATATTGAAAACAATATATTAAATACTACGTATTTATTTTTACGTTTTTAAAAACTTAAGATACTTGAGGTACTTAAGTACCTCATTTCATTTTTACCTCGTACATCTAGTTGTGAAATGAGCTCTCATTTTCAATTTCCCCTTTACAATATAATATGAGGAATTTAAAAAAATGTGCTTACAAATATTTAAAAGGCCGGCAACGCATAAACAACTCCTCTCGTGTTGCAGGTGTTCATGGGCGACGGTAGCCGCTTTCCATCAGATGGACAGTCTACTCGTTTACCTTCCTAACAATATAAAAAAGCCTGTCAAGTGGGAGTCGGGCTCGCGCAACAAGGTTCCATACAAAATCATCGAGTTTAAATTTTATTCTGAGATCACAACAAATTTACGGTTTACGGACCTTTACTTGTTACCTACATGATATTGCTTCTTACCAAATTTTATTATTCTAAGTCAACAGGAAGTAACCTATTTGTAGAGGGTATAAAAACCTATTTTTATTTCCTTTACAAATGTCAAAATATGCGAAATAAATGGAACATAAACGGCCGTATCTATTGAATGCATCGATTTAGAAGCTTGATTTTTTTACTGCTTTAAGTGACTGCAGACCTGAGTATATGATATTAATTTCAACTTGATACCTCTACACGTTCCTAAGAAAATGGGTCTCGACAGGAGAACGGACGGACGAACAACGAAGTGATCCTGTAAGAGTTCCGTTTTTTCTTTTGGAGGTACGGAATCCTAAAAAGCAAGGTATAATTTGGCATTGAAAATATAGTATACAGAGACATAACATTTTGATTCATATGAACGAATACGTAAAAGGGGCACATTACAGCGTACTCGTATTCTGTGATATCCAGGTCCATGTTTATAACAACAGAAACTTGATTGTTATTTCAATGTATTTAAAAATATGCACTCAGATCAATAATTAAATTGGCAAGTAAAGAAATAATGAAAGTAAGTAGGCAATGTACTCGTAAAAGCTTAACATTGGGTACAATTTAATTTTATCCAACAAAAATATATTTCTGATACATATAAAATTTTATGTTTAATTGCTAGATATTTTCTAATGTAGCATTATTGTAATAGGTACGTATAGTATTGATTTTATGATTAAAAAATTTGGTTTGTATTGTTTTTGGTTAGAGTAAAAAATAAATATATTTAGTGATATAAATTACATATGCGTTACATAGCGTAATATCAATTTTAAGTAATATTTATGCTAGATACACGTACCTAGTTAAGTATTTGTACAATGGTGTCGGGTAAAATACGGCCGAAAAGGGACAACTCTATTATAGTAAATAAATCTCGTTAATAAATCTCGTAAATCTCGTTATAAAAACGTAACAAGATTTCTCACTCGAAGACCACAGCAAAATAGGCAAAACTGTCTGTATTTTAGACTATAAGATCATCTTATTATTATCAAAATTTGTAGGGAACAATTATTTCCAAATAAATACTCGCACATAATATCCCTGGGGTTACAGATGTTCTTAAGATAATTATTCCACTTACTATTCCGACAAGTTAGCCTGCTCAATTATCCTAAAACGTAGCTATAAAAGATACAGGCAAACACAGTATAAGATGATCTCCCGCTAGATAAAGTGACGACTTCAAATGCATAGCAGGGAACCAGTAGATGCAGATGACTTGAGACCATCCCTTACGGCAATCTATAGGGGAAGCCTATGTTCAGCAATGGACAGATACCGCCTGATATGTTATTGACAATAATGTGGCAATGAAAAATACATATAAGTAATCTATTTTTTTTTTTTGATGGGTGAAAATGGTATGGTAACCCCGCCTGCGCTAACGGTTAACGCTGGCGGAGCACCAGTGAAAGGTGATAGATGAGAATGAAAACATGCCAGTTAGCCTATCATGATGAATTCATCAGGAATTAACCATGATAGTTTCCAGGGAGAACCGCGAGGAGGTCGACCTGGTTGGGTATATTGCTAGCAATGGGATTCTCAGTCGCCATTACTAACAATCCCTTTCCCCCCGTAAGATATCTATTAGAATCCGAAATACTGGACCATAACTCCTATAAGGCTCTTGATAATAATAGTAACTGGCGATCCGCGAAAGGGATCGCGGGATAGCGAGTTTGCACGGTTTTTTTTTTAATAAATAAAAAAAAATCTTTCCTCTATAACACGACAATAGATTATTAATAAAATATATATATAAATATAAATCACGTATCACGGTGTTTGTGAGCGCACTTCTCCGAAACGGCTCAACTGATTTTTATGATTTTTTTTACGTACATATATATGGTACCTACCAAATATATTCGATATGAAATATACTTTACGACCTATTTTCATACTTTTAAAAGAGAGAGCTAGATGATTAAGGTGACCCTTTCCCTATTCAATTTCTATGGCAGAACAACGTTGATCATGTCAGCTGGTGTATATTTTGTAAATTACTTTTTTTCTGTAAGTTTACATAGAAAAAGTAATTTAAATAATATTTAACATAGACATAGCTATAGTTACTTGTAGACATTTGTTGACCGGATAAACCCAACAGAATAAACATCACGAAAGTCACGGAATGTCGGTAAACATTAACACATTATGAGTAAATCAAACATGCAATGATGTTATACATATGAATAACATTTTGTTGATGGACACAATGTAGACCATACATCTACCAATATTAATTAGCAACTAGGCGTCAGTGACTATATATTAGAAAAACAAAGTGTTCTATTTCAGTCTCATGAAAATATTCATCAAATATGGAAATACGTGTAAGTCGATAACTTATTATCTAATTTGTCTAACAGTCCCTAATTTTTACTTAATTATCTTTTTTTTTTTTATTTGTGTTCTTTTCTTAACGAGATCTACACAATTATCGAAAACGACAAACACAGTATGAATGAATGGACATGTCGGTAGGGGCCGCCCTAGACGGACGTATGTCGACCAAATAGGCGACGTGCTGAAGAAGGGCCAAATTAAAAGTACCCGTAACCGGCGAGCGTGTATGAAAAGATTGATGAATGTGGAAGAAGCGAAAGAGGTTTGTTTGAATTGAAACATTTGGCGTTCCATTGTTTCTGCCTACCCTAATGGGAGACAGGCGTGACAGATATGTATGTATGTATGTACAAACACAGTAAATTCATAAAATTTCCCATTAAATATATACATAGACATCAACAATTATCTGATTTTACTAATATTATTTTAAATGTAAAAATTTGTAAAAATGTTCAGTTGTAAAGATCTTGCTGAACGCTTTTCAAATGAAATATGTTCCATCTATGAACATAATCTAAATCAAGAACAGTATCTTTATTATTTTTTCACTTATAGAAATATAATAATACCTACGTAATGTTTATTTTCCTCGTTGTCACAACACAAACAATGAAGACGTTGTCATTCAATCGCAATTTTAAGATTTAAATCATTTATAAAATAAAATGTTACCCACCTATCTATCTACCTTATAACCTACTATTATATTATCATCCATGTCTACACATATATTATATTTTTCCTTTTTTCAGAATTGCGTCACTCTGTTTTTTATAACAAATCTATTAGAATATCAGGAAGTTTGTGCAAAGGGTCAACTAACGGGTGAAACAAATGAAGACTTAAATCCATTAATGAAACTAACCAATGTTAAAGATCAAAATAATAGTTCTGAGCATGCGTTATCACGAATGAAAAGGCAATATTATGATTACAATTATGATCCTTATTATTACAGACGATGTAAGTATTGTTTTTATATACCACATGGAATGACCAACCAAATTTATATAAAAGCTATACAAGCGCAATACTAACTGTTAGCCCTCCTGCTAACGCTCATGATGCATCTTGAAAAAGGGAATCAAATTTATTATCAACTAGCTTTTACCCGCGACTTTACCCGCGTGACTGAAGTAAATAACCAAGTAGCCAAGTAGTTTCCTATCTCCATCCCTACTACCTGTATACCAAATTTTACGATTTGTTGAATCGTTCAGACACCAAAAGTAACCTTTCCATTTTCACTCAATAAAAAAAATAACCTTAGATATGTATTTTTTGACGTCTTTTTAACTCCAAGTTAAATAAAATTTCGTAAATATGTTCTTAAGTATAAGTCATTTCACAAAGAAATTTGGTGACAAATAATGTAAATCTCAATCCAATTAAATTGCACAAAAAGATATGAATCTTGGTTTTAAAATCATCAATATCGGACAGCATGAACATGATGACCATGCCATGAAATTAAAAATCCCTTCTTTATTGAATTCAATTGAAGAAATCGTGATATATGTAAATCATTTATTTACTTATATTAAGCTACGTAACAATAAGATAATTATATTATCTCTACCAAGATACCTAACTAATTTTAAACATCATCTTATATTTCAGATCCTCCTTATCCTTTACCAATTATTGTGGGATTAGGCGGTTTTGGTATAGGTACAGGCTTTGGGTATGGCGGTAGAGGTTTTGGAGGTAGAGGATTCGGTGGCAGAGGATTTGGTGGCAGAGGATTTGGTGGAAGAGGTTTCGGTGGCAGAGGATTTGGCGGTAGAGGTATTGGCGGTAGAGGTATCGGAGGACTGGGAGGTAGAGGAGGCATTGGTGGTGGACATGGCAGGGGATAAACAGAACATATATCTAAGCTGAGATCTCATATTAAAATTAATGAATTTGTATTAGACCTTTTCCTAAAGTCATTCTTAAATATACAATATTTCAAACAAATTAATTACTATTTGAATATTTCATTATAGAACCATGTTTTTTTTTATATTCTGTTCAGTGCTGTTTTTAATATATATATATATATATATATATATATATATATATATATATATATATATATATATATATATATATATATATATATATATATATATATATATATATATATATACATATATATATATATATATATATATATATATATATATATGTGTATATATATATATATTTATATACATATATGTGTATATATATATATATATATATATATATATATATATATATATATATATATATATATATGTTCTATTACCTCGTATAACTAATGTTTTACATTTATTGTCATTTATTTATAATAATGACGATTATTTAATCTACTACAAAATAAAGTTGTTAGTCTGAGTTTATTTCATATTATTTGCTATTATTTATAAGAAACTCCCGTTTAATATTAAAATATGGTAACCGAAGGTGCAGGTGCAGGTCGACCTGACAGGGTATATTGCTAACAATGACTGGCTGTCCGCCTGTGTCCGACTGTGGCTGGTAGTCCGCATTACTAACAATCCCTTCCCCCTCCCCCACAACTGTTAGTAATAGATAATAAAAAATATATAAATTTAAAGGTTGAGGGTTGCCGGTAAAAGTGCAGCGATCCCTTCCTCTGATTGAGAGTCTAATTACACACAGCGGAAAAAAGGGGGGATAAAAGGGGTAGATGAAAGAAGACAAGGATTGAGGAGACATGATGCAAGAGGAGAAAATCACCCTTCGTCTACGCCCAAGAGAACCCTGGAAGTAGGGCGGCTGTTCAATTTATGAAAAGTAGACATAAAGAGAACCAAAAGGCATTAAATTAGGGTGGTTCTACAATAGTTGGTATGTAAACTTTAAAGGAAGTAAACAAGGAAAACAAAACTTCCGATTTTTAATGACGCACATTTTAAAAGAAAAACCTGCAGTCGTATTATGAACTCTTATTTCCAGGCAGATTACGGCGTGAATTGAACTGTCTTACTAATTCATATTATGAACGCTACAAACCAGCCAGTCAGCGGTCACGTGACAGTTGAACGACATCTGTTCGTATTTTGGCTGTTTATTTCGTATTACGAGCTCCTGATTTGACATTTCTACGCGTCATTGACTATTTAAAACTTGTTTACAAACCATTCAGTTTACGGCGTCTGATATAAAAACAATGATGCAATGTGTGATTAAATTTTAAAATGTTAATTATGGATTAAATAATAAATAAAGACATTAATTTTTTTTAACTCAGCAAACTTTACTCCATCAACAATTGTTAAATTCATTTCATACCCGCTTGCTACACTAGCGCTATTCTGGAGGCATTTACAGTTTTCAAGTGCACATTTTTGCTGTTGTTCCCCTATATAAAATAGTTCTCCTTATATACGTCTATCTTTCCATAGCAATATATTTTTTATAGAATTGGTGACAATGGAATATTTTAAATTCTGGTCAGACTGTAAGAGTTAAGAATTAAAAGTCAATGTCATTAAATGACAGTGACAGTTTGTTGTGTTGGTGTTTAGTACTGGTAGTTTTGACTATGTTTTGTATAATGATTTAACTATCTTAAAAGTTAGTTAAAAATTCTATTTATATAGGAATCTTTGAAATTGAGTAAGTTTAATTATAATGTATAAAATGAAATTATATCATCGCAATAAAAAAATTAATGTTTTCATATAAATAGGTTTTTTCTATGCCCGATTACCTATGCCGCATAGACTTGATATCCAAAAAAGTTACGCTATTAACGTTTGCATTTATTGCATTCACGTTTTACATATAAAGAATTTTTAATCATTTCCCAACTTCATTTACTTTCAGAAATGGACAACGGCTACGACGAAATCCTCTCAGATAACCCATTTTTTATTGAGTTAAAAAATGAATATACAAACTTATTCCAACACTGCATAGAGCAGTCTTGGATAATATGCGTACCGCGTATTGGAAGTTTGAACACTCGAGTATTTACTATAGAGGACTTCTGCGCGCATTTACTGGTCCCGAATGATGAACTTCCCGAAACAAACTACAGTACTCTAACAGAGAAACAAGTCACAATCTCCAATAAAGTAATCACAGTGGAACTCGCTAAAGGCCTACCCCTACAAAGCCATATATTGTTTGAAGAGACTTTCTACACTGAAGATTTCATCAAATATAAAGTGTGGTGTATAGAAACTCCTCTTGAACCAGCCTCTATAACTGATGATCACGCAATATTTAAAGATTATCTCACTTCCATCAATGATTGTATTGATTTACTTTGGACGCAAGCAGCTGGTCGTCAAGTCCTTGATCAAATTGAGCATAGTGTTCACATGTTTATGAAAAAACATTCCTCTCTACCTGTAGCTATGAGCCCTTTAAGGGATATTGTTAGTGAACTATATACTCAGTGCCTTCAAATAGCATTACAAAACAGATGCCTACGAGAGAAATCTAAAGCTTGTAAACAAGTTCTTGATAATATTAAATTAGCAGTAGAATGTTATATGCAACATTTATTGTTTGATTTTTTATTCAAAACAATATGCACATGTTGTGCATATGAAGATTCTCATCTTAACAAAAAAATAAGAAATATGAGTGACATACAATTAAGAGATCTGGATATCAAAAAGGAATTGTATCATGCAGTACCTAAAGCAAAACAAATTTTATCCAAAATTAATAGTTATCATACAGTGTTAGAGAAGTTGTTGTGTATTAAACAAGCGCTTAATGCAATTAACAACATAGATACAAGTAATAATATAGTTCTATTAACTGCTGATGATTTGTTGCCTGTTTTTGTTTTCCTGGTAATTAAGTCAGGGTTACCAAACTGGTATAGTCAACTTACATTTATGAAGGAGTTTCATTTTAGTGGAGTAGGTAAAGGTGATGGTGATCAAAGTGCCTTCCTTATAACCACCCTAGAAGCTGTAATTGAACACATTCAGTCAGGAGCTTTAGCAGGTCCCCCAGACCCTGAAGCTTACTACTATGAAAGCAATCTCACCGAAGAAAATATTAATAATAACCAAAGAAAGAGTAGTCTAACCGAGTCAATATCAACATCTGATACAAATAGCAGAGATGAAACTCTAGAATACATATTTGAGTTAATTAAAGCTAATCACTCCGAACAAGTGCAATCTATATTACAAAGAAACCAAAAATATTTAAGAAATATACAACAACATCAGACAAATATATTGAAAGTAACTTTAAATGGTGATACATCAAATGATGATGATGAAAATGATGTTGACATTTATAATAAGCTTTGTCATCCATTATGTAATTGTCAAAGATGCTGTTCCAAGATATCCAAGAATGTCTTGAAAACATCTCCTACAGTGGCCTCTAGAGATAGTCATGGCCTTACAGCATTGCACATAGCATGTATACATGGTAAGGCTACTATTGTAGAATCACTAATTGATATGGGTTCAAATGTCAATGCTACAGATGTTAATGAATGTACACCATTACATTATGCATCATCTAGAGGACACCAAAATGCCTTACTTTTATTATTACATTCTGGGGCAAACATTAATGAAACAAATATTGATAAAAACACCCCACTACATTTATCTGTCAACAATGGCCACATGAACTGTGTTAAAGCAATTATATATTTTGCAGAACATAGCAGAAAAAAGGTTATAATAAATTGTGTGAATGAGAGTGGCAACACACCCTTACATTTGGCTTCTAAATGGGGATATGAAGGTATAGCCAGGTTACTTATAGAAAATGGAGCTGAGCCCTCCTTGCCAAATAAAAATAACAAAACAGCATTTGATTATGCACACAATCTGAAAATACTAAATGTATTGAAATCATGTACACCCAATTTATATGAGTATATACATATAACCAGTACTGATATCAATACACTGAATCATAAATCTGATGATTCTATAAGTCTGAAATTAAAAAAATTATATGTAAAAACGAATAAGAATAATTCATCAAATGCAGTAGAAAATTTGAAACTGATCGATAGAATATTACAAGCCATATCCTATGGTGATGTTAAGCTTGCTTGTTTTTATATGAATATTAACTATGAAGCTTTTGTAGATAATGCAAATTCTACCAAAGCTCTGTGTCACCCTTTGTGTGAATGTACAGCTTGTAAAAAAAAATGTGAAGCTTGTACAGATTTTGAAGTTAACATTTCTGATTCATTTGGCTTTACACCATTACATTATGCTGCTCGCTATGGATTAGATGAGTTGTGCAATATACTTCTACTGAATAAAGCTAATGTAAATTGTGTTAACAAAAAAGGTCAAACTCCTTTACATTTAGCCGTTTTGAATAACCACACTATTGTCATCCGCACACTTCTAGACAATGGTGCTAATATAAATGTTATAGATTCAACAGGAAATACACCATTACACGATGCAAGTGAAATGGGTCATATTGGCGCCACTAAAGTGCTACTCAGTTATAATCCAGACACAAGCATGTTGAATGGATCTGAAAAATCATCATTAGCTGTAGCAAAAGACAAAGTACATTTAACTATAATTGATTTGATAGAAAAACATAGAAGTAAAATATAAGGAAATATATTAATTTAATATAGTTAAGATCAAATTTACAAATTATCACACTTAGTCAAGTACTTAGTGCAGATTTAAAATAATTACAGTTTTATCAAACAATGTTATTTTAAATTAATTTGCATTTTATTATTGTTTGACAATAGATTTTTTTTTATTATACTAATTTAAGATTTGCTCAAAATGTTAATACTAATAAGTTTCGAAATGTACCTATTATTAATATGAAATAAAAAAAAAGCTTTAACGCTTTTCATATATTATGTACAAAATATAAAAAACTGTAAGTATGAAGTATATTATAAAGAGACCTATGAAAAGAAATAGCATAAAATTTACAAAAAAACTATCTGTATTGTAAAAATATGTATTTTCTATGTGCCATGATGTACTGAACCCACTTAAATTTATAACTAAAAGACTGACTTATTGACCTTCTAACATTGTGTTTTTTTTATTTGGTAATTTTATTTTATCTATTTCTTTAAGTATATTTTGTAATCATCACAAATGTCTATGTAGATATTTATGTACCTAGACATAATTGACAATAAATTATTTTTTTTTACTTATGACTATTTTTGAATACAAATCATTTAATACGAAAATGTACCTTAACTGATTCATAATATTATCGCCCAAATTCAGACAATGTAATGTTAGAGGAATATTTTGAAAAAAAAAAGTATTAACAACTTTCTCAAATAAATAAATTATTTACATCGTTTCGTATTAATTACTATTATAGTACTAAAAATATTTTTAAAACTTGGCAGGACGAACTGACAAAATCGAGTCTGATTTATCCAAACGAGTATGTGCTTCCACGTCCTCAAAATTCTCAGATATTTCATCGTATTTTAAAAATATTTTCAAATATATAATTTGCATTACAACACAAATCACAACAGACATAAATAAACATACACCAAAAAAAACGAGATAAAAGAATACTTATTCAATAAAAGTACATAAAAAATGAAACAATTTTTCCTTTTCGTGTGCCATAGCAACACAAAATGGTCACAACTCAGTTTATTGTTTTGCCCTCGAAAGCAAAACACTGATATTCTGCTGTGGCCAAAAGCAAAAAAGGAGACAATAAAATTATCCGTTGTCTGTATACAACATATATATACATACATTATTGGATATATATAGTCCTGGATATATCACAAAGCGTAATCTGATCTCAAACTAAGTAAAACTTTTACTGCTTACCAAGTTCACCAACCCTTTAAATTATAATTTTGTACCTACCTCCCTGTAAACTTTATTTAGTCTCTTTCAATATAACTTAAACTTATTTGTAAATAAGCGAATAATGATCCGACCAAGACAATGTTCTCCAGTCCCATTTCGAGCAGTATACCCTGTCAGGTCGGTCTCTGCCTGCTTGCTTGCATGCTTCATGCAGACCCACATACCTCGGGGGAGATATGTGGATACTGCCGGACTCTTACCGGCTAAAACCCCCCGGTATTCCTCGTCCGCCTATTGCCGGAGCCGAGGGGAACCCGCTTGAAGTCGTCCGAGACTCCGACGGACGTGGTTCTCCTTGGAAACCATCGTATTCTAATTTCAAGTGAATTCATCACAATGGGCTTACTGGCCTGCTTTTTCGGGAAGAAAATAGATTGTTGCCTCATTGCTAACAATACACCCTGTCAGGTCGACTCCTCGCGGTTCCCCTTGGAAACCATCGTGTTCTAATTCCAAGTGACCTGTCTTTTCATTCTCATCTAGCATCCCTCACTGGTACTCCGTCAGCGTATATCGTTAGCGCAGGCGGGTAACTATTTCATTATCATTCAATAAAAAAAAAGTCTACAAATGTCCAATAATAAATAAAAACTTAAAACGATAAAATATTTCGTTATTAATATTATTTAAAAAGTATTTTTGCTGTAATTTGAACAAAACTTAATTACATTTTCATTTAATTTTATTAATATAGGCAATACGAATATTCTCTCGTTACTTGAATATAATTTTCTAACAATTTTCTGTGAAAATAATATTACTGACAGCAGAAATAAAAAACGAACATAATTTCCATGTATTTTATTCCACTCATATACAAATATATAAACATTTTGAGCATTTTTCACCTGTGTATAAATTCTATTTTCAAATGAAATTGTATGTTATAGAGAACATAAAATACACATTACATATATAAAGCCAATGACTGTTGAGAATTAACTCGATACTTTTACTAGGATGCTTACTAAAAACATAACTGATATATATAACCTTCAAACTACATATTTTATAAGTGCATTTACACTAAAATATGTACATTGTTAACATGATCTATGTGTATCCAGGTCCCTAAGGACGTAGGCCACGGAATACAAAACCAACGAACCTTGTATTTATTATTCCGTTTTAAAATTAATAATTATTATAACAATTCCGGATGTTCATTCACACTAATGTCCGAACCCACTCAACTGATTTTAATAAAATTTTGTAAATGGGTATTATTTGCTCCTACTTGAGATATAGTAGTTTTTCTCTCAATAGGTAACATATTGGGAGCAAAACAACTATTTACAGTTATTTAATAAAAACTATCAGACACTACTAGTTGTAAATAAAAAATATGTTTCAATGAACATGAAGTGTTAAATTACCAAAGAGAATAGACAAATTAATTAAGCGAGACTATTTAAACAAAATATTTGTAATAACCAAACCTTATAAGAATAGGTTACTAGTATCCTTGTACCTTCTTTGTGTGATAAACAAGGAAACTGACACATAATATTAAATATATTACCAATTAATTTATATACAATTGTTCTAACAGTCCAACTATTCATATTTGTTAGTTGTGTAAAAACAAGGAACATAAATACATAGACATCACTGTGCATAGTTAGTATCTCTTCACTAATTCTATGAAAAACTTATTCTATTTGCACATTTCAGCTTTACAAATAACATAGCACCAACAATCGTACTTCAATATTATGACTATTTTTTAGGAATGTCAAACACTTATCCTGAAGCAAGTCTTATATACATACATACAACATAGTCATGTTAGATTGTCATTGTGTCATTGTATCGTATTAAAAAGCATTTCAAATTAAAACTCTTTTATAAAAAATACATTGCATTAAAAATTAATAAAACATTTATAAAGGCTAATTTAATATATTAAGATTTTTCTCATTAATAGACAACTTAAATCACATTAAATCTAATTTAAAAATGTAGCAGATGAAAAAAGATAATTTGCTAGAATATAAAAAAAAAAACTTAAAAAATTAAATTATTTGATCATCCAAATTGGTCCCAAGCTTCCAACCACACGTATCAGGTATGAATTCATACATAAGAAAAAATAAAAAAAAAAACAGAAATCACATATAACTGGGAAACAATAGAGATCTGATCTATAAGTACGTAATTTTTTGTCATTATAACAATTCTTATAAATTAATAAATAATTTTCTCAATACCTATAATAATTTTCTCTATATTTTACAATAAATAATAATTACAAATACCAACATTAATAACTATGTGCGTAATACATATTACGATCTGATCAGAAAAATAAAAATGCAATTATAAACATTTAATGATGCCTACAGACATTACCATTTGGTAACATCATAAATTAAATACATACATATTTATTTATTTATTTACTGTAAATATGTAGACGCCATATAATCATATTAATGGAATCATAATTCTACATAAAATAACAAATACCTCCGCCATATTGCGGATAATACAATTTTTATTACTGGCAAGTTACTGTCTGCCTAATGACTTCTAACCATATTTATGAATACACAAAGTTCAATTCTTATTAGAGAGTATAACCAGTGTTGCCCGCAACAACTGATGGCAATTCTTATTTTTCTGACTAGATAAACTTACATTTGTGCTCCTATATATATCACTTTGGGGGCAATGTCCAAACCGGCATATCTTCTTTCTTTTTCTCTTTCTTTTTGTAATTATGTCGATCTCTTAATCTAACGTCATCCTGTCTCGTTTTGAAATCTCTCGCTTCACTTCTCCAGTCAGCACGCTTATGAGGCGAGCCGTCTTTCTTGTAATACTTAAATGTTTTGTCCCGATCGTTTTCATCGTAATATATCTTACTTTTAACAAATAGTTCATTTTTCTCAGAGTCACACAATTCTAAAGCTAAATTTCCCTCATAATTAGTTTCACTATTAAGTTCAATGACATCTTCTCTGTTGAATGTGAACGAATGTGGGTAGTAACCTTGTAACAGATCCTCGTGTCGATACTGTTGCATCTGTAGCCATACGTGCGGTAAAAGAAGAGGGAATCGTCGTAGCCAGTATGTTACGAAACCGTCGGGTATCTTCCCCAGTTTCTCGCGTACTTCAGCTTCCAACTCCCGGTAATGGTGTTTCTAAAATAAAAATTATATTTAGAAATTGCATCCCAAGGACGTTAACGACATAAGACAATATTTTAAAGAAATTTAAGCTCGGTCTATTCCTTACTTTAACGATAATAATGGTTCATTTATACTTAATGTTTTAGATTAATGCTTCAGTGGTACATGAATTTTAAAGTGAAAGGCATCTTAGTGTCTAGGATAAGGTAAATGTTTTCGCAGCAATAGGCTGCACACCGTCCCCGCGGGTGCAGTGGGTGTGGGTGTGGGTGTGGGTGTGGGTGTGGGTGTGGGTGTGGGTGTGGGTGTGGGTGTGGGTGTGGGTGTGGGTGTGGGTGTGAGTGTGGGTGTGGGTGTGGGGCGGCTACCTTGTTCCGTATGGCGCGCAGCAGGTGCGCGGCGCGGTCGCCGCGGTAGGTGCGGCGCGCGCGCAGGTCGCCGGCCAGCAGGCTGCACACGTGCGCGCGCCGCGCTCCAGCGAGTGCAGTGGGTGTGGGTGTGGGTGTGGGTGTGGGTGTGGGTGTGGGTGTGGGTGTGGGTGTGGGGCGGCTACCTTGTTCCGTATGGCGCGCAGCAGGTGCGCGGCGCGGTCGCCGCGGTAGGTGCGGCGCGCGCGCAGGTCGCCGGCCAGCAGGCTGCACACGGGCGCGCGCCGCGCTCCAGCGAGTGCAGTGGGTGTGGGTGTGGGTGTGGGTGTGGGTGTGGGTGTGGGGCGGCTACCTTGTTCCGTATGGCGCGCAGCAGGTGCGCGGCGCGGTCGCCGCGGTAGGTGCGGCGCGCGCGCAGGTCGCCGGCCAGCAGGGTGCACCGGGGGCCGCCGCGCTCCAGCGAGTGCAGTGGGTGTGGGTGTGGGTGTGGGTGTGGGTGTGGGTGTGGGTGTGGGTGTGGGTGTGGGTGTGGGGCGGCTACCTTGTTCCGTATGGCGCGCAGCAGGTGCGCGGCGCGGTCGCCGCGGTAGGTGCGGCGCGCGCGCAGGTCGCCGGCCAGCAGGCTGCACACGTGCGCGCGCCGCGCTCCAGCGAGTGCAGTGGGTGTGGGTGTGGGTGTGGGTGTGGGTGTGGGTGTGGGTGTGGGGCGGCTACCTTGTTCCGTATGGCGCGCAGCAGGTGCGCGGCGCGGTCGCCGCGGTAGGTGCGGCGCGCGCGCAGGTCGCCGGCCAGCAGGCTGCACACGTCGCGCGCCGCGCTCCAGCGAGTGCAGTGGGTGTGGGTGTGGGTGTGGGTGTGGGTGTGGGTGTGGGTGTGGGTGTGGGGCGGCTACCTTGTTCCGTATGGCGCGCAGCAGGTGCGCGGCGCGGTCGCCGCGGTAGGTGCGGCGCGCGCGCAGGTCGCCGGCCAGCAGGCTGCACACGTGCGCGCGCCGCGCTCCAGCGAGTGCAGTGGGTGTGGGTGTGGGTGTGGGTGTGGGTGTGGGTGTGGGTGTGGGTGTGGGGCGGCTACCTTGTTCCGTATGGCGCGCAGCAGGTGCGCGGCGCGGTCGCCGCGGTAGGTGCGGCGCGCGCGCAGGTCGCCGGCCAGCAGGCTGCACACGTGCGCGCGCCGCGCTCCAGCGAGTGCAGTGGGTGTGGGTGTGGGTGGTGTGGGGCGGCTACCTTGTTCCGTATGGCGCGCAGCAGGTGCGCGGCGCGGTCGCCGCGGCCGGTGCGGATCGCGGGCAGGTCGGCGGGCAGGTGGCTGGTCAGTTGTGGGGGGCGGGCTGTTGGGTGTGGTGTGGGTGTGGGTGTGGGTGTGGGTGTGGGTGTGGGGGTGGGTGTGGGTGTGGGTGTGGGGCGGCTACCTTGTTCCGTATGGCGCGCAGCAGGTGCGCGGCGCGGTCGCCGCGGTAGGTGCGGCGCGCGCGCAGGTCGCCGGCCAGCAGGCTGCACACGTGCGCGCGCCGCGCTCCAGCGAGTGCAGTGGGTGTGGGTGTGGGTGTGGGTGTGGGTGTGGGTGTGGGTGTGGGTGTGGGTGTGGGTGTGGGGCGGCTACCTTGTTCCGTATGGCGCGCAGCAGGTGCGCGGCGCGGTCGCCGCGGTAGGTGCGGCGCGCGCGCAGGTCGCCGGCCAGCAGGCTGCACACGTGCGCGCGCCGCGCTCCAGCGAGTGCAGTGGGTGTGGGTGTGGGTGTGGGTGTGGGTGTGGGTGTGGGGCGGCTACCTTGTTCCGTATGGCGCGCAGCAGGTGCGCGGCGCGGTCGCCGCGGTAGGTGCGGCGCGCGCGCAGGTCGCCGGCCAGCAGGCTGCACACGTGCGCGCGCCGCGTTCCAGCGAGTGCAGTGGGTGTGGGTGTGGGTGTGGGTGTGGGTGTGGGTGTGGGGCGGCTACCTTGTTCCGTATGGCGCGCAGCAGGTGCGCGGCGCGGTCGCCGCGGTAGGTGCGGCGCGCGCGCAGGTCGCCGGCCAGCAGGCTGCACACGTGCGCGCGCCGCGCTCCAGCGAGTGCAGTGGGTGTGGGTGTGGGTGTGGGTGGGTGTGGGTGTGGGTGTGGGTGTGGGGCGGCTACCTTGTTCCGTATGGCGCGCAGCAGGTGCGCGGCGCGGTCGCCGCGGTAGGTGCGGCGCGCGCGCAGGTCGCCGGCCAGCAGGCTGCACACGTGCGCGCGCCGCGTTCCAGCGAGTGCAGTGGGTGTGGGTGTGGGTGTGGGTGTGGGTGTGGGTGTGGGGCGGCTACCTTGTTCCGTATGGCGCGCAGCAGGTGCGCGGCGCGGTCGCCGCGGTAGGTGCGGCGCGCGCGCAGGTCGCCGGCCAGCAGGCTGCACACGTGCGCGCGCCGCGTTCCAGCGAGTGCAGTGGGTGTGGGTGTGGGTGTGGGTGTGGGTGTGGGTGTGGGTGTGGGTGTGGGTCGTATGGCGCGCAGCAGGTGCGCGGCGCGGTCGCCGCGGTAGGTGCGGCGCGCGCGCAGGTCGCCGGCCAGCAGGCTGCACACGCGCGCGCCGCGTTCCAGCGAGTGCTGTGGGTGTGGGTGTGGGTGTGGGTGTGGGTGTGGGTGTGGGTGTGGGGCGGCTACCTTGTTCCGTATGGCGCGCAGCAGGTGCGCGGCGCGGTCGCCGCGGTAGGTGCGGCGCGCGCGCAGGTCGCCGGCCAGCAGGCTGCACCCGTGCGCGCGCCGCGCTCCAGCGAGTGCAGTGGGTGTGGGTGTGGGTGTGGGTGTGGGTGTGGGTGTGGGTGTGGGTGTGGGTGTGGGGCGGCTACCTTGTTCCGTATGGCGCGCAGCAGGTGCGCGGCGCGGTCGCCGCGGTAGGTGCGGCGCGCGCGCAGGTCGCCGGCCAGCAGGCTGCACACGTGCGCGCGCCAGTCGCCGCGCACCACGCCGCGGGCGCCGCGCTCCAGCGGGTGCGCAGCGCCCACCGCGCCGCTCGTACAGTTCTCCACTTGGTCGCTCACGTCCTGTACATATAGTACTTCAATTAAAAACAAATAATCAAACATGGCTTATTTTAGTCAGACTAATGTAAATGACCTCCAAACAAATAAACAGGATTTATAACAAAGAATAATCTTTAAAATGAGGAAAAACTGAAAATCGAGATAGATTAAATTTTTCGAAATTTGAAGTTATCCTTAGGCTGCCATAATACGAATTTGGTCCCTCATGCCGGATCAAAAAGATTTGATGAATTTTAAGCAAATAGACAATTGATCCATTGGTTAACATCTAAGGCTCATTATTACGGTACTTCAGAACATTAGAAAGATTTCAAATATGTCACCTGCAAAAAATTTAGTATGCTCTGCTTGCCCCAAAACATTGGATATTTAAGTATAGTCTCGCAAGGCGGCCGCGCATGGGGCTTCGCTGATATCATAGAGCGAATGAGTATTTTTGTCAACAACACTTCCTCCTCTGGCAACACTTTACTGGAATAAAGAAAATAATATTTATATTTATAACATTCTAATATAGAAAACTATAAAATGCTTTTATAAGTTTCCACAGTTTATAACTTAAAGTACAAGGCAAAATTAAATAAAAACTTTGCAGTGTAATATAAATAGACAAAGAAAACCTAAGTTACTTACTCAAGTTGATCTAAGTTATAGTCGCCTGTGAGTATATTCGCCTGCCTTCTTAACATATCACCAAAGGGATGCTGTCCTTTGGACAGTACATAATAGAACACGCAGCCCAAAGAAAATATATCTACCGATGTAGTCTGTAATAAACAACACAATATTGGGATTGTGAACTTAATAATATGAAATAATAAAAAAAATTACTCATCATTTAAAGAACCAAAAGTTCAAATAGAAAAAAACTTGAACAATCAATAACAGATGACTACTATCACAAATTTTATTATAAATAATATAATACCCATTACTAACTATTCCCGCAAATGAAACATATTTATTTTTGATATGTAATAAAATAGCTAACTCCTTCTTTTAAAGTCACATAAAAATAAGATTTCAGGATTTCGCCTCAAGTTATGATGTTGCCTCCAAATGAATGAATGAATAATTTTATTTGCTTGATTACAGGTTATTTCATTAGAAATATTTAATGTTAAAAACAGAATCTCTGTATTCAACCGTATAGCGTGCAAATATTTAAGTTAGAACTTGTTCTTAAAATTCTATATTAAAATAATCTTCAAGTGAGTAAAAGCATTTTTTCCGTAAGACAATTGTAAAGTTTTTCAATACATTTTTGTTTGTCTAACCTCTGTATTCTGTCGGTAATTTATTACATGTTTTAATTGCCATGTAGTAACAATTTTTGTTGTACAATGCCAATTTATGTCATAGTATTATAAGTGATTTCTGTGCGACTTTTCTCCTTGACAAATACTTTTTTGTGTTGCTAGCTCCAAAGCTATTTATGTGTTGATAAAAAGTAAAAAATAGGTACCAACGTACCGTCCGCTCCCCATTAATCATCTCGGGTGCTATCCAGCCCTCGGTACCGGTGACACCAGAGCGGCGCGAGAAACTAACGCGGCCGATATTGAGCTTCTTGGAGAGGCCAAAATCTGATATCATGGCACGCACCTCTCCAGTACCGGTCGGCATCGACAGCAATACGTTATGCGGTTTTATATCTCTGTGCACTGAAATAAAGAATAACAGTAATAAGTGCTAAACTTAGAGGATTCAAGACTAAAGATGAGGTTCAGGAGAGTAAATTTTTTATTTTTATGTATATTGTATCTTTCTTTAAAACATTCAACCAATCACAATTTATTATACATATAGGAAATTCAAGATTTTGTACCACAACAAACCTACTTCAATCTTTACAAAATTAGTATGGGATTGATACGAAAGTAAACTCTTTTAATAGAAAAAAATATCATAAAAATCGGGTTCTAATCGGCAAAGGTATCGTATATAAGTAGTCATAAAAAATACAATTGAATTGAGAACTTATATTTATATGCAAAGTAGAACGACCCCTCACTAGATGGAGCGACCTCAAATGCATCACAGGGAGTCAATAGATGCAGGTAACTCGGGACCATTCTTTATGACAGTCTATGGGGGAGGCCTATGTTCAACAGTGGACATTTAACGGTTGGTATGATGATAATAATAATCAACATGAAAATTTTATTTTGAAAGCAAAACTTTGCCTTTGTCTAGTTATTGTAAATCTTATTACAATTCAACTATCATGTACCTAATCATATAATAAGATGTAAATGTTAAAAAATATAAAACTTTTACATACCTATATCCATAGAATGCAAATGAGATAATCCCATGGTGGCTTGCCTCAACACTTCCACTCCATCTATCCGACACTCAAAGTTTAATTTCTTCTCCACATAGTCTTGTAATGTGGCTGAACATAACTCTAACGCAATGTACCTGAAATGTATAAATACAATATATACTATATATTTTTGAATTTATTCTCTGTACAGAATACATACAAATACGATTAATCGTAAAATAAATATGCTAATGACTAACAGTCATGATTGCTATAGTGAACGTAACACTCGAGACATGCTCGTTTTTTATCAAGCTTATTATATATAGTCCAACGTGGATTAGGACAAGCCTACCACCGTTACACGAATTAGTTGAGTGTTTTCCATTATCAAAGTATTAGTTGAAATGTTACAACAATGAAAACATAGCGACTAACTATCCGGTAATGGAAGACAATTTTGAAAGTCAGTCAGATTCGAAATCTAAACCTTTGACGTTAATAAGTAGGAATTTTTTTGATGGGTGAAAATGGTATGGTAGCACCAGTGAAGGTTGATAGATGAGAATGAAAACAAGCCAGTTAGCCCATCATGATGAATTCATCAGGAATTAACCATGATAGTTTCCAGAGTGAACCGCTATATTGTTAACAATGGGATTTTCAGTCTCCATTAATGTATACCACTAAACCACGACCACCCAATAGTTTTTTCAATAAACTTTAAAACGCGCTTCATTTCATTTAGATCATTATAATATCATCAATACACGGGATTCGTTTTCACAAATTAATGCAAACTAGTAATAATAAAAGAATTAAAAAAAAATGTTTTTCATCAATATGCTTGTATGAAAAAATATCAGCACAGTTAAGTATAATTATTTTGTGCTATATATACATGAGGAAATTTAAAATTACATACCTAAACTGCTTATCTCGCTCGGTACAATAGTAGCGTACGACGTGCGCGTGGGCATCCGACTCGCGTAACAGCGCCACCTCGCGGTCGGCGAACGTAAAGCATTCGGGTAGCAGTCTCTTCACTGCCACCGCACGCTTATCGAATGTACCCCTACATGAAAAAAAAATACACAGATACACTTTAAATATGATTTTACCAGTATGATATTAGAAAAGAATATATCCCCATATTAACTTTTTAACTTTCGCATTGCATCAACACTAAATAGTATAAAACGAAGTCGCTTCTCGCTGTCTGTCCCTTTATATATTTAGGTCTTTAAAACTACGCAACGGATTTTGTTGCGGTTTTTCATAAATAGAGTGATTCAAGAGGAAGTTTTATATGTTTAATACATGCATAATATAGTATAGAAACAACGATAATTATAGAGATTTCGAATGTGATGTCGTAAATACATTTTTTACCATTTCACTCATGCAAAGCCGGGGCGGCTTGCTAGAAGTTTATAAGAGAATTAACGCGACCATTTAGTTAAATAGGGGTATATATTATATACAGAGGTATATTTATAGGGACACGATTTGTGTGATGTATGACAATGAGTGGGTAGAAAAAAAAATATTTCTGCCTCGGAAGCGGCAGCAGGACAGTGCTACATAAGTCTACTCGTGACCACGATCAGTGTAACCTACACCGCTACTATAAGTTTGTGCAAACAATTTACTACAGTAATTTACTATCAAGTTTCTACAGTAGTTGTAGTATTCGATATTTATGCAATTATGAGTTTTGTTTTATGAGATAGTAATCTATCATAAACAAAAATGAAATGTAGTATAGTTTACAATTGTCGCTTAACAATTAAATACTATAACTACTGTAGGAACTTAATAGTAATATATCGTAGTAAATTGTTTACACAAACTTATGGTAGCGGTGCTGGTCCAGATAACCCAAGTAAATTATCATAATATACCTAAATGATCCTGTTAATTCATCATCTCTTATAAACTATAAATATGTCAGCACTCATTCATTACCAAGATGTTGTAAGAAACAATAAGAAATAACAAAAATCCTATAAGTACTAAACCGGTTGACTAGCGTGCTAATAGGTATATTAATGTCCACCTCTTAAGAGGAAACCTACTCCCAGCTGTGAGAAGTTATAAATAATTAAGCCCGAACAAATAATAATCTGTTACAATTTTGAGGTATTGTGAAAATCGAATGAAGAATTAAAAATATTAATAAATGTGTGCAGTAGTACACAAGACTGGTACAAATGTAAACTTACCTATACACAAAAGTACCCTCACAGCCCTTCCCCAAAACCTGATCAGTGTGGAAACTGATCCGGCCGATGCGTACTTCCCCCTCGCCAATCTCAACCAGTTGGCCAGTCACTTCGCCGTTAGAGGACGTTGAGGCAGTCGAGCCTCGGGAGCCACCTTGTGACAGTTGTTGGAACTCCCGAGCCTGTAACATTCATGCAATTTAAAGAATCATACCGTCGCTTATTGATTTTAAATAATAATTCAAATAAGTGTTTTTATACAACTTGGAAAGGCAAACATGCTAACACTACCAGAGGGAGACTTTGTACAAAAGTCGTTTGCTTGAATACCTCTGTCTCATTCGTGTTTCTACCGTGAAGCAGTTGTGTTTGCATGGCTGTGTTCGGTTTGAATGTCCTCAGGAATGGCAACGCATGGGCGAATCATGTCTATAGACGACGATTATCACTTTCCATCAGGTGGACCGTCAGCGTGTTTGCCATTCTAAGTTGCACTGCGATCTTCATGATACCCCTTATACGTTCCCATTCTTGAGAACTCAAATGTTATGTATATCTTGTAATTTCACTGCCATATCACGCTGTTTAAAACAAAACAGCCATGCAACTAAACATTTAACTAAGTGGCAGAACGAGTGGGCCAGAAGTACTCATGCAGTCGACTTTTTTATAAAGATATCCTCTGGTAATTCATTAGGATGACTCCTAACCTTATAGTTTGAAAGTCAGTGCAATGAGTCAGCCAAGTGGTCGCATAAGAATATATTTTATTCAAATAAATTTAATTACAAGCATAGTAGTAGCATAGCTGTGTGCGTTTCACTGTCTCGCTCCGTCGAATGTATTCCTAAACGAGGCATAATTGAATTAAAATTCACAAACAAAGCCAAAAAGCGACTTATGCCAATAGCAATACGATTCATTTTTTAAAAACCGCCTAAAAGAACGGTATTGGTACGTTAATATCAATCTCTCTTAACGCTAAATGACTTTTAAATTCAGTTGGGTAAACTAAAGAAACATTTTTCTATGATTCATATGTAAATCTGTTATTTTAAAACCCAGATCGCGCGACTCAAGAGTATTAAACATATAGAAAAATTGTCGAATGTAAATATAATGTAAGTGATATCTGTAGAAGAGTTATGAATCCATCATATATTATAGTTCCAGAGAGTCAATCAAAAGGATTCGGAACTAATTTCAATACCATATCGTTGTCAAGCGAATCAATTTATTTCAACAGAATTAATACTGACTCTAATGGGTTTTCCAACTTAAATACAAATGTAAATCCATCTTATCGCACTGCAACTACCGTGAAAACAATTCATAACCATATCTAGGTCAAATTACAATACCTACTTGTCCGTAAGGGCTTGTCTTACAGATTAGTGGCAGATAAACTTCCTATCTTAGAGATATCATTTATCTTTTTAATCACAAATAAGTACATGACTTCTATAAATGGCGCACTAATTAAAAATTATTCCTCCTAATTAACTCAACTATTATATTGTCAACCATTATTTTTTATATATATAACTATAAATTGTAAATTGTTATAGGTATTACAAAATTAAAATATGAAAATATATTTTTAATTTATTGTTCTATTGTTTTTAAAAATTATAATGTATTATTAAGGAGAAAAAAAAAATATTAAAATCATAGTCTAATAATTATTATGAGATTGAAAAATTTCAAAACGGACGGATGTTGTTTATATACAATGACTTTGACAATTCAAGATATAACATATAAAGGTAATATTTATGGAAAAGACAGAAAAAACAATACTTATGAAAAAAGACAAAACACTGCCTAAGAAACCTAATCCGATAGACAATAATTAGCTTGCCCTTTGCCATATCAGATTCGAAAACACTGGACAGCCCATATTTGGCACAATATATTTTAATCTGAATGACAGAGAACGTATTTTCGATCGCCGGAGAGTAAGACAAATTTATTATTAACACAAATTTATGAGATCTTAGTCAGATCACGCACGACCTTTGAGGTCCATCAATTGGCATTGTAAACTAATAGTATGTTCTCGCGTGTTAAAATCATAATCATGTCAAAGTGCTTGCATGCTTCCGGTTTGAGGCGTGAATATGGCAGTGAAATTCAGGGTACTGTGAGTCAAGGTCTTTATCACTCACAAGGTTGGCCTGTACGCGAATGATGCCTCAGATTTATCAAGCATTCGTGAGCTGTGTTCCTGCTTATCATCAGTCAGTCCATAAGCTTCTTTTTGCCACCTTTACTTTATACATTTAATATGTCACTCAAGCGTGAAGTAGAAGAAAACGCAGAAAAAAGCATCATTTCTTAATAAACATTACATACAGTTTCCTAAACCAATTAAGAACTTGTTATACAAATTTCACTTATAACAATATGGATATTAAAATGTAATAACCATTAAAATATAACAGTAAATATATTATTTTTAAAATGTTTCACGTTATATATAAACCTACATATTTCGTATAACTACATAGAAAAGTAATTAAAATTTTTAATGGCTTGTACATACCGCGATAAAAATTAACATTCTGTAAACATAATTAATTAATACGATATACACTAAAACCATTGTTCTAGGTTTAGTATTGCTTGTTTTAAATATATAATTGTAATATTAATATATTCATATCCCTTACCCATAAACTAGCAGTTAGAATATGGTTTCGGATTAATGGGGTCTCGGATTTGAAGTCTCATTCGTTAATTGATAAGCTTTTTCAGAGATTAACCAAGGTGATAATGATAATTTTAATCTTAGTTATATTTGTACTTTAAGGTCTAGATATCTGTATTAACAGAAGATAACATTCAATATTAAATTGGGTTTTATTTATCACTGGATTATTCTCTTTTCAGCAGACATCAAAAAGAAGAAGGTTCTTAATTCAAATGTATATATTTTTTTATGATTGTTACCGAACACGTTTACACTTGTATACGGAAAAGACTCGCCTGACCCCTGACTAGCTAATCTATTAACATGCACCCTAAACTGCTTTCATATATGATACTTGAACAAGTTCTTTTTAATGTTGTAGGCGTACTAGGAATTTAGAATTACAGGCAATTTGCACGGAAACAAGAAACAAAGGGTTCCCCGCGAGCGAAACCGGGATAAACAGATAATTTTGTTGAAAATTCTCATTTCATTATAAATATTAGTAAAATTAATCCGGGGTGTAATAGCGACAAGCTTGTAAAAATTACAGAAGATGATAGTAAAAGTAAAAAATAGCGACCTGCGGTCTCTGCGTACAAAGTATACGAGTTATTGTATTGGGCAATTAATATAAGATTTGTCGTACTAATTACGTAAAACCAATCATGCTTAAATAAAACCACCAATATTATTCTTTTCCCCAGTTATGAGGCAATTAAGCAACAGCTGGTAAAACAACCGGAGGAAATTGCCATGCAATCGACCTACAGAATGTCATGAATTTTAAACAACAGATGTTGAGATCGTATCTATTGTTATGTTATACAAATATTTTTTAACAAATGGCATTGGAGTTTCTCATTTTCAAATGTATTACATATAGTAAAGAAAATATTAATATATGATACATATATAGATATGCGTCATCGTATCCTAATAGGTTACTATCCTAAAGGAAAAAACAAAGACTATGAAAATAACAATTCCAAGTGACTCTCGGTTAATAGTAAACGCTGTTAACAAACCAAATTAAATGTAAATGCTGTAAAATGTCATTAAACTTGAATATGATCACCCAAGTACCGGTTAGTCGAATAATACGTTCACTACAACAACAAAAGTCGACTAATGTATGTAATTAGTTATTTAATTGACATTGAGCATAATTAAAATATAAGTAACAAAAACTACGCTTTTATGCATTTGGCAATATTATCTATGGTATTATCATTAGTAGTATATCAAATTACCAGTATGATAAACAAAAATTAAACCAATGCATAAGTGATAAGATACATTTTAAAGTTTTAAATAGCAACATTAAAAAAATAACCTCCAACCCAGCCGCCTTACGTGTCATTAATGAACGCAGGCACGTGTGACATAGCGTGGACGGACAACAAAACGTACTAAAAACAAATGCGAACTGATAAACCCATATCAAACGAGACTATCAACCAAAAAATATTTACCTGATATCGGAGATACCAAAACAGCGTAATGACCAGTCCGACCAGTATGATGAGGACCACTTTCAAAACTTTATTCTCTTGCTGGTGAAGCCATATGTAACCCTGCTTGTACCATAAATCAGGTCTAAAGCTGAACTTTTCAAATAACTCCTCGGTTTGTACCGACACGCTGATCGAATTCGATTTCAGATTAGTCTCATTTTCTACATCTTTCTCAGCGTCCGAGTGGACTTGTCCATTAATTAATTTAATTGTATCTTGTTTCGGTTCTTGAGTATTCATGATGTGTGTATTTGGCAGTTGGGGAATCCAGGACGTTGTTAACTCTGGCACTTTGTAATGTCCCAACAATAAGTACGGAGCTGATACATGCAAATTCAAGTCGTTCAGTTTATAATGCACATTTGTGAATGGTTCATGTTTAAGCGAATCGGCATTAGCATCCTCAGTTACTGGGCCCTCGATCAACAAGGGCTGTGTGTGACCAGTGGATATAGTTACAGTATTCTTATCTACGAGTGACGACAGAGCGTAGAGGCCATGGTTATGCTCACCTACGTACAACGTCGGGCTGAAAATAACGTTACCGATACAATCTGATAAACAAACATCTCCAAAACCGTACCCTATGCAAATTAGATTATTCATAGATAAATTATTTTCCACGTGTATAATATCATCATATCATCGTATCATACCATATCAGCTGTTAACTCTCCACTGCTCAACAAAGGCTTCCGCCATAAAGGGGGATTCTGTCACAAATTGTTACGCTTGGCGGGCAGGTTGGCAACCGCAGTTAGACCTTGAAGATATTTTAAAAGAGACGCTGCTACCCACCTCGACTATTAAACTCCCTTACGAAAACCACGGGAAGGAAGAAGTGGACCATTCTATGATGGGACCACGCAGCAATAAATATAATACATTCTATATATTTATAGTCTATAAGGTATCACATTTTATATAGCTTGGAAGGATAGTGTATGATAATGGAAAGTTGTAACCGTCACCTTTAGACATGAACAGCACCTACATTACACGACGCCCATAGAAACCGCATGCATTTCCTTAAATCTAGCTGTTAAGCACTCGTACCCAACAAATTCACTACTACGTCTCACCTTTCAAACTGAATCAACCAAAAAGTTGTTGCTTGGTAAAATCAGGAAGTCTAGCATAAAATAAAATTCCAAATTTTCGGACTCCATTTAATATTTTTGACTCCATTTCAAAATCGGATCAGTAAATGGAATTTAACATTTTGTTCGCCATAAATCCTACCAAAAAAGTCCAAAGGAGCAATATTTTAACATATTTAATATTTTTATACGGTATTTATTATATTAAATTTAACACATACTAATATAATTATCTAAGAATTTAAATACATAACTTTAAATCCTTTAAATCGTATAAGCCGGACTCGTGATCTATTGAGTACTAGAAAGGTAAAAAAAATATTCATGTTGCAACATATGTTCTTTGGAGAAAAAGAAACCGTATTCCTTCAGTTACATAAATACTATCACTGGATTTAAGATCGCTATAGTCATTTATCATATAACGTTATTAATACATATATGGTTCTAATAAAGAATTACAAATTCTTGACGAAGTTACTTCATTTAGGCAAATATTAACTACACATACATTTTTTAATTGAATTACTACTAATTTAAATTAATCATTTTTATACTTACTATAATTCGATATTCGAATTTTTTATACCCTGCCCTTTGCTCAATGTATTAGCGTCCTCCATAATGTGGTCTAGAGTGTCATCCCCTATAGAGTTGAAGGGTACGGATATAAGACCCTCCCTATCTAGCAAGTAGGCAGCCACCACTGGCGTCTCGAAGTTATGCGACCAGACGAGATCGCCTGTTTTACGGTTAAACGACATCACCCGGCCATTTGAAGTCGATGTGAAGTGTATTATTCCTGATGAATAGATGATCATTCTTGCAAAATTGTTTCTATATGTGTATTTTAGGCTATAATATATTTAATATTAAATCCATCCTGTAAACCCTATTAGGTATAAATTATATCATTCTTATTTATGTTATGGAAATTTCTAAGAATAATTTCATTATTTAAACATAGTGGATGTATGTAACATCCCAAAAAAGGGTTATACGTAAGGCAATTTTCCATATAATAAATTGAGAATTTCAAAATAGGCAAACTTATAACTAACATATAAAAAATTACACCACTTATAGAGGTATATTCTACTTAGATTTACGTTTGTTTACTCTCGAAAATGATAATGATTCAAACATGTATTCAAGATTCAAGGTGAAATCACATTCATATTAGGCCAAAAAGGTTGAATTAGTAATGTCAGATATCTTCAGCAACGTCAAATAGAGTTTGTTATAGATAAGTAAATACATTCGATCATGTGGAAATTCATATGCAATAATATAATTTTATCGTGAAATTCATTTGTAATAAGCGTAAGATCAATGCGCTCAACAGAAGGTTAATTTTGTATAAAACTTTTAGATATGATATTAATGTATTCGTACCTATATTTACGTTTTTCAATTGGTCATTATTTTTCTTAACATATTTATAAAATTATTACATCGTTTTATATTACTTACCATAATCATTCAACATTTCTTTTCCCATGGCATGGGATGTATAATCAAAGAATGTAACATTCCATTTGTGATTTGAATTCTTCGAGTCATGCATCAGAATATTATACTCTGTGCGAGCGACGTATATACCTCTACTATTCTCTGGGCCACATGTTTCCTCGTCATCCGATTTGAATATCTTAGATTTATCGAAACCTACCAAAAAGTATAGATTACATATTTTCATATTATCAAAATAATTCTCTATTTTATATATGAATAATTTAAGGTGGGCGGAGTTTGAATTTGTACTATCTTTGCCATGCTGATGCCATTGCCATTGCCCATTTACCATTTAAAATACGACTACCCTAAATTCCCATCGTTAATTTTCAGAGGACCATAATTACTATTTTTTCGCAAATAATTTACTTTTTTCCTAATGAATATCACATTTTTTCCCCCTTTTTTAAACACATTCAGTGGATCCGAATAGGGCGGGGCTATAGTGGCGGTGCCTGCCACTCGGATCAAAAAATGTTTTTTTTTATTAAAATAATAATAATAACAATACATATTCATCCATATTTTTAAACACTCGTATATACTTAATCAAAATTCGCCTTAAAAAAATTGGTTCCCAGCTATTACTTTCTATTAATTTCGTAGGCAGTGAATATGTTATTGAGTTGTGTGATTGAGTTCAATGAATTAAATTTCTTGAGTGAACATTTTCTAACATGTATTGTGTATAGAAATTCATCGGTAGGTAGATACTATCTCTCTAGGCAAGTGTCAAAGAACTCTATATAATTATATATAACTCTACATCTCTAATAAGCAATATTATTTTTACTTTCTCCAACGGGAGTGGTACCATTGAAGCCTAATATAGGGGCAGTACTTTTTTAAAAAAAAACAAACTAGAGCCTTCTGTAAAATCTACATGTAATATGCACAATAACTATACTTCATATCAACTATACTGGACAAATATTTTTGTATTAAACCACTGCTCTATACCATATAATATGTACACATACCTGAGACGTGTTCTCTTGAGCCTGTCAAAGGATCCAGTCTGAACCATGTGTCACTTTTCTTCCCTGTATACAATATACCCTCGGTAGATCGGCATGGTGCATTCGCTACCAGCTCAGGAATCGTAAAAGGTAGTTTCTTAAGCATCTGCTGGTCACCACGTGGACCGTACATGTATAGGAAACCATGTCGAGGATCAGGCAAAAACTGTGGCATTAGGTTTGCATGCTGCTGCGGCACCTTCACGACCGGTTCTTGAATAAAAAAACAAGAATGAGAAAGCTTGGCAAACATCTAAAATTACTACATGACTGAAGCAGACAGATTACAAACAAAAGTAAATGTACGTAGGATAAAGTATAATAAGACAGATAAAGGATAAATGTAAGTCATTCATACAATGTAATATAAATTCAATTTAAGGCGGTAAAAGGTTGCATATAAACAAATAACCACCGTGTGACATTACAGGTGTATAAAGAGTGAAACAGACCGTGTGAATCGCAGAACATGGCACTAATGCAGCAGTCCCGTTTAACGTTAATACCCTTAGATCTTTACATAGATCTAATTGTAATCATAGAATTAATAATATCGCTTATGAGCGAAACTCAGAAACAATCGGACAGGTTAAGGCAAGTTTTGGTTCATGTGTTTATGATCATTATCCATTTTCATTTGGTAAGCTATCACCTTTTTTACCATTCTGAGTGGTGACATGTCAAATAATCCCTCTCCGGGGGGAAAGGGATTGTTGGTAATGGAGACTGAGAATCCTATTGCTAGCAATATACCCAACTAGGTCGACCTCCTCGCGATTCTCCCTGGAACTATATAACTATACTATACTAACTGGTTAATTCCTGATGAATTCATCATGATGGGCTAACTGACCTGTTTTCATTCTCATCTATCACCCTTCACTAGTGCTCCGCCAGCATATCCCGTTAGCACAGACGGGGTTACCATACCATTTTCACCCATCAAAAAAAATAGTCTCTAGTCTATCATCAGGTTTGCAGCCCAGGATTAAAAGCGAAGTTTTTAACTAAGAGCGAAGGCATATCTAAAAATACATATACTCCTTTCTTTCAGGCATCTGCTAAAAAATAATCTTAAATATACCAATGATTACACCCTCAGTTTTTATTATTATTATTATATCAACAATTGCCACTGTTGAACATAGGCCTTCCCCTTATGGGAAATTTTGGCAGTAGTTGTCACGTTTGGCAGGCGGGTTAGCAACTACAGTTAGCCTTTAGTGATGTTTTAAAAGGGACACTGCTACCCTCCCTCAACTATTAAGTTCCCTTCGTCACCACTTATCACACCCATAGGCAAGGAAAGAGTAGCCCATTCTATGCCGAGACTACATGGCATAACACACCGTCAATATAAGATATTTATTAAACTCGGCTGAGTTATGAAATGACTATAACATTCCTGATAATATAATAAGGAATCATATTAATAATCTAGCAACAATAAAATTATTTTTTACTTGTTGTTGATCACTGCATCAATGGCAATTAAATAGAAACTTGGAAAACAATGTTTTATTTATAAAAATGTAAATAATTAAAATTCAAAATGGTTATGAAATGTTTTTTAACAAAGCCTCATAAATACAATACAACTTACCAACTTACATAAAAGGAGTGGGGGGTGGGGGTCATGTTCGTGTTACATATAAAAATAATAATTTTAAAGGATTCACATATGCAAAACTATGGGAAATAGCTAGTTTTATTATAATTGCAAATGACTACAATTCACAATAAACTCATGTATCCTACAATGTACAGTTAAAATAAGTTTATTATTAGGGCAATATATTTCTTCCATCAGTACTCAAATCCGCATGAATATATTTTACAACAAAAATTGACTAAATTGTGAATAAAAAGTTCAAACTCAGTTTGACTGAGTAATCCATTTGTATAAACCACTTAGATTAAGTAAAAATTCAACAGAAAGACAAAATAATAGATAAAATTTTCCAGAAAAGATTATTTTAATGGAAGATTCTATAGTAATTCATTGATTAGATAAAAGTATTCAAAATAAAAAGTTTAGCAATTTTAATTTTAAAAGTTAATTTTTTAATCTATATTTTTCAACTGTCAACTGCTGAACCTAAGCCTCCCCCTTGGGAAATAGTAGTTGCCAAGCTTGGCAGGAGGGTTGGTAACTGTCCATCAACTGACCGCCATCATAATTATTATGAGAAATGAATGTCCATTATCAATTTTATAATATTAATATATAAATAAGAAAAATGTCATTACCCAATAAGAAACAAGAATGTATACTTGAAAATTAACAAAGCCACATGCTAGTTTAATTTAATAAAAAACTTATCGTTAAGAAAAATCTTTCAATAAATATAACTACATATAAATATAACTAATACTATAAATGCAAATGTGATTTTGTTTGTTTATTATGCTTTCACAATTTAACAGCTGAATCAAATATAATAATTTTAGACATAGAAATTGACAGGCTCCTGGTAATAATTATAGGTTATTTTTTCTTCCAGTCAGTAAAAATGTCTTTGTCACATGTACAATCACAAGTAGAAATCGTATCAAATAAATTAATTAGAAATCATACTAATATCACAGTGTAAATAACAACCAATGGTTCAACACCTTTGGTAAGACTACATGATAATTCAGAATACCTTGCTTTTACATATAATTTTTTTAGACTGCCAATATCACTTCCAAATATTATAAATAAAAAAGTTCATAAAGGTATTTGTTTATATCATGCCTAAATGGTTAGACTGAATTGAATGAAATTTGATATACAGACGGATCACAGCAGATAAATGTTTAGTAAACTTTATATAGTGCCGCCGTGTAGGTCTCGGCATGAAATTGGCTACCCCTTACTTTTCCATGAGTGTCATAAAAGGTGACTAAGGGAGCTAATGGTGGAGGAATGAGCAGCGGCGACCCTCTTAAAACATCACCAAAAGCGAAACCGCGGTTTTTTTTTTTATACAACTTAGAATGGCAAACAAGCTGTTGGCAAACGCGGTTGTGCAACCCACCTACCAAGTGTAACAACTACCGGCAAAACACCCTTCATGGGGGAGGCTATGTTTAGCAATGGATAGTTAATGGCTGACACAACAAACTTTATATCTTAATTCACAATAGGAAAGTCGTAAATTGTGACTAGTAATAACTACCTAAATATTTGTATTATTAAACAGACAATTAATTTGTTTATAAATAACATTTTCGGGAATGGGAATCATAATATATACGGTAGAAATCACAGTTCCTAGAACTATTTACAGGGCTTAATGCAATAACTATTAGTGCATATAGACATTAAGTAAATATATATTTAAAAACAATTATGCTAGATCAGTAACAAATATCATTTCCAGTTCGTGAGTACTTATGATTGCTAAACATAATTACCATCTTTTAGTTTCCAAATAATATTTCCGGTTAAAGGTTCCACAGCGACCATGCCACCCCCTAACGTGGCAAATAGTAAGGGCCGGTCATCCAATATCTGAGATAACTCAGTACTTTCCTGCGATAAACGTCACAATTTAGGTAATTCCATTTCATTATTACAATGTAATTCGTATATTTATTTCGTGATTCTCAGGCCTCTCACCTGTCCACCTTTAGCCTCTGGTGAGACAAAGTCGCACCACTCGAAAATAAACAATGTAAGAAACAAAAACTTCATCACGGTCATTTTTAATTAAACCAAAAACACTTCAATAATGAAAACTCCATTATCCTTTATTATAACAATAAAATTTTTAGACAATAAAATGAATAATATGAAAAAAATACACTAAATAGGAAGATACACTGACAAACAACAATCACGATTATTCACCACAGATCACAGAGACTATGTTCATAACTTGCAAAGATTAGAGAAACTGTCATAAATCAGAATCTCTTAAGGATTGGAGTTTTCAAACTCAATTAGATTTATTCGTAAATCAATCTTTAGTAACATGATATTATAATACTGATTGCATCTTAAAATCTTTTGAGATCAGTCTATGAGCAGATTAAGTTTGAACTCATCGATAATTTGCATTATTTTATGTTATTGCCATCAAATTTTAAATGAAATTGAATTCCATAAATGTATGAAGTACATTAGCTATATAAACCGCGTAAATTTTTAAAGTCATCGTTATTAGTCGTTTGAACATAGAGGAGATCCTAACTTTCCTGGAAAATCTTTGATTTCATAATATAAGTTTTTTTAACTTAAAAAATAGATTTTAAGAAAGTTAAATTTAAAATATCATAAGAGATACGTTTATAATCTCTAAAATGAAGCAAAATGACATCATTATCTCCATTATGAAGAAAAAGAAAAGAAGGCGACTGTATTTTTTATTGCAAATGAATGTATCTTATCTATACTTCATAAGAATTTTATTATTCCTTCAGTTCTGTCACGGTTAGATATTTAAGAATTGACAAAATATAATTTAAGAAAAAATATTTAAATTCATTTATTATATAGTATGTTAATTAACATAACCCATTCCTTAAAACTGGTGGTATTAGGATTTATTAATAGGATATAAAAATAAAAAATTCCCGAAATAAATTTGATTACTAGAAATAATAAAAATAAAAATCTCGAAAAAAAAACTGTATCAACAACACTATTCAGTACAAAGTATTACATACCACAACGTAGTGGTACGGTGGTCAGAAAGACCCAATGAACCGGTTATTCACTGACTACCCGCGGTTTTCTGGGTTTTCAAACCTAGGGAATATTTAATTTACGCCTTGGGAACTGCCACTAGCGCATAATCCACTGAAGATGTCGTGCCGGAGAAGGAGACTGGAGTGGAACTAGCTATTGCATTAGTAAGGGGTATCGCAATCTCTTCCGACTGCCGTTCCACCAAATCGCACAACCTATGTTACACAACTGTACGTTAGCATCTTTTTTCCATTTTAATACCAGCATAATTTCTTCAGCGGGGAGAAGGAATTGTTAGTAATGAAAATTATCCATCCCATTGCTGGTAATATACCCTATTAAGATGACCTTCACCCGGTTTCCCCTGGAGACCATCGTTATTTATTTATTGTAGAATTCATCATTATGGGCCAACTGCTCTACTACATCATCATCTATTATCCTTTACTGATACTACGCCAGTGTATACCGATAGCACAGACGGAGTAACCATTATATTATAATCCATTAAAAACCGCATAACTTCTCCGTATAGCCTTAAGTTTATGTCAAAAGTAGTAAAATATGTAATCACAGGGGCATCCCTTTCCACCATAAAAAATGGACTTTTGTAACATTAAGGGACATCACACCCACATCAATGCAGTTCATTATCACCTTAAAACTGTACACAGTATCCCTTCGCAAGTTTAGTGATCTTCGGAGACTTTAATGTAATGTTTAACTAAGTGTAAACACTAAGTGGCTCGGCTCTCGGATTACTAATTACACGGGGAGATCTGCTCTCAAGTCTACGCTAGGATATAGCGTAGACTCTCGCAACTGATTCAATTTCCTACAAGAATACCAGATATCGAGGATCATACAAGCTCATTACTGCATCTTTCTTCTGAATATACATCCGAGCTGATACTGCACCACAGTGGAAGCACCGCTTAATTCATCAGATCGTTGTTTAATCCAATTCCAAGTAGCCTGCACACAATCTCATCATCCCCGGTCTCCTGAGAGACGCCGCGTGTAGCTTTATAAGTCAGCAGACTGGGATGGATTGCAAAAATTTTACCCATCGTACCCATGAAAGGCAGCCATGTAGTCCCGGCATAGAATAGGTCACTCTTTCCTATCTCGTGGGTGTCGTAATAGCCGACTAAGAAAAAGCGAGGGATGGGCAGCAGCGTTAAAACATCTCTAAAGCCTGACTGCGGCTACCAATCCGCCTGCTAAGCATGCCAACTACTGGCAAACGCGCTTCCAACAATTTGTTTATATATTCATATTATATAACTAAATCTTAATGTTGTTATCATGTATATATGATGATAGCATTTTATAGATAATAGAATCATTGGAAGAAAGTAGAGTAAGAATAGAAGTTGGGAATGAAACACGGATGTCCGATTAAGATAGTTAAGTGAAAAATATGTAATAGTGATGCGCTTAGTAGGTAAATTTTTGGTATTATAATATTTTAGTATTCATTAAAAAGAATTTAATGATGATCCGAAGCTGATAACTCAAAAAAATCGTGAGTACTTATTCAGGTATATTAGCATTCTATCAAACTGGAATGTTTTTTCTGAATTATTTCAGAAGTTTACTTTTATAAAGAAAAGAAAATAAATATTCTCTAATTTAATATTTTTTTTCCTTTGAAGAAAAATTGACAAAAAAAGATCTTGCCATTCGAATGATCGGATTGAATCAGCTACGTTCATACATGAACAATTACTAATGAATTATTTTAGCGATTAGAAGAAGCAGTACAGTAATTGAATAAAATTAGAAGTCTAATGATATTCGAATAATAATTTGAATTACTCATTCAAATAGTAATCGTATTAGTAACTTCGCGCATCGCTACTTCGAACATCCTGACATGGTACGCCACTAGTCTGGTAGTGTGTATTAATAATCATATGTAGATGTAAATGATCGTGAATTGTCAATTTATGTCAAAATAATTTCAAGTCTAGCTACATAAAAATTGCAGTTAAGAGTTTCGCGATCTCTTTATTGAACATAATAATTTAAATGTACAAAGTGAACATTTCTTAATGATTTTTTTATAGTTTTCAAAGTATGTAGTGTTGATATTTTGTCATTTGTTTTCTGCTATGGAGGTCTCCGGCGCAGGTATTTTGACAATAAATACTTTCGATATTGCTCAACATATGGTCATATTTTTTATGTCTTAATTATCTCCTTAAATAATCCGCATTTGCGCAGTGGTTTTGTTTGAAAACCGGTTATTAACATTTAGTTCATTAATTTGTATTTGCATCAATGTTTCTTAGACAACAAAGACGATAACAAACAATAGTCGACTCAATCCCAATATAATACATTTGGGAGTTGGTATTACTTCCTTTGTTTGTCTCATACACGGCGTCTATGTTTATTTTTAGAATGTATCATTTCAACTAATTGTCCTTAATAGTCTTTTAAGAAAGAGTTCAGATTTTTGTTTATGTTTAAATCTTAATGGATTTCTGTATTAAAAATATGGTTTTCAGGCAAATCACCTAACACTTCCCTATCATTTAGATATAATGCTAACAATGAGGAACTTGAAGAACTATACAATATTTGTGATGATGATCCTCCTACACCTCAGTGTGAACTACCATCAAGCACCCAAAGCGAAAATGCCAGTCCTAAGAGAGGTGACAAATCTTCATCAATTTTAGAAAAATATTTTAAATCAATAAGACCTGAAAAACCCACAGAAAAAATTGAAGATGTGAAACCTGCAGATCCGAAACAATCTGATGAGCCTAAACCAGTGGTACCACCTAAGGAAGTGTCTGCTTCTCCCATGAAGGAATATTTAAACCGTTTAGGTAAGAGAAGTACTTCTGAAGCAGCTCCAGACACAAAAGAAAGTAATGAGACATGGAAAATATTCCATGACTTTAAATTCAAAATAGCTCAAGCAGTGGAAGATATGAAAACCCGGTCTGTTGAAGGTCAGTAGCATTGTTTTACCATTATCATTCAGAGTATAAATTTTTTTTTTAATAAATTATGAAATTGGTTCTAAAATCTTACTTAAACCTTATAATGAGTTAGAAATAATTCAGTAACCACAAGTAAAAATATATTTATTATTATGGCAAAAATTATATCTATCATGCAGCGTCTATAACCAGTTTACTATCAAAAGGTCCATATACTCATTTGCCACCATAGTTGTATAAAATGAAACATGCATTGAGAGATCAGCTAATAAGTCTTTTATTGAATCATACAATATGATCTATTTTAAGTAATGTATTGCATAGTACCTAAAAATTAAGTTTAGTATATAAATTTGTTTTAAAATTTTTCTGAATTGTCATAAGTTGCATCAAAAGAGGCTAAGCACAGAAAAGAGAGTCCATTTTTCATTACATTACAAGTTGCATCTAATTTTATCTTGAATTTTTTTATGATGCACATTGTAAAATACATAAATATTTTAACCTGTTTAGTACAACTGTACAATACACATATTTTTATATATAAATATGTCTTAGTCTGGGTATTTTATGCATATGTATAATATAAATGTATTTATAAAAAAAAATCTAGTATTTAAGAATTCCTATCAGTTGACTAGTACCCTTAGTATAGTATTTATTATCAGACGATAATGAATACTATACTAAGGATAGATGATACAGTGTAAAAAAAAACAAGTTTCTCAGAATGCTCATGAATAAGTAATTGATGAAACAATATCTTTAAGAAAAGAGACCACTGGTAATCGGTTCTTTCATATCTCTGAAATAAGATGTAAGGAATCTTCTGTGAAAGTATACTATATCAGTTTACTAATTAATTAACATTAATTGTCATCTGCTGTGTTAATAAAATAAAATATCTGTTATCTTCATCAGAAACAAAAGAGAAATCAGTTCTCAGAGATAATTCTATGTCAGACTCAGAAGAAAATTCGGCCATCAAAGATTTGGACCAACAAAGTGTTGGGGATACAGACAATCAGGTAAAAACATTTAGTTTGTTCATAAATTACACTGCTTTTTTTTCTAAACAAATTCTCCTTTCTTTCTTATTTTTTTCTGGCTGATGTGGTCACCATTTTACTTTTCGTTCTCTTTATTTTCTCTCTAAACATATAATCAGTCATAGACTACTTACAATTTCAAATTAAATCTATCTAATAATATTGATCTATTGTCATATTATAAATTACAACATATCCTATATTTTTGTGTATTTTTAGGTATCTTCTTTAGATAGCAGCATGCAGAATTTATCAGAGGTAACTCAGCCTTTAACAGCAAAGGCGACAGACCGCGACTCAAGTCTTCCCGTCGATATAAAGAACCATTCTGATTCAAGTGACGATACACACAAAAATTTAGGTAAGTTTATTTAACAATTGAGATACCAGTAAAAAATAAACATATACCAGCTAATAGACCTATGTTACGTCATCAATACTATGATGTAAACAGTAAACTAGTCTCTAGAACACTGGCAATAAGTTTCAAAATATTTTTCCAGTTCATAGTGATTCGGCTGACATTTCTAAAGACTTCCTAAATGACGGCAATTTGATGGACGTGGAATCTGGTATAGAGGCATTAGAGGATACAATAGACGGTTATGGTGACATCTCAAATGTAGAAACAGAAAATCAGCAGAAGAGCAAAACTAGGTCTACAGAGTACAGTCCTTCACAACCGCCGCCTACTCCAACCAACTTTGGGTTGCCACCAAGCAAAAGCAATGTTAAGTCAAAGAAGCCTAATCAAAAGACTTATTTCCTAAAATTTTCTATGTATTTCTTAACGTTTTTACTACTCATAAACTATGTTTTATTTCCTGAATCTAACATTTGGAATGGATTTTTACTGGGTATATGGTTCTTCTGTTTTGCTAGCAACCTCAAACAGTGGTTGCTAGACAATTATTTCAGTGACGAACCAAATAGGGGTAGTTTTTTCCAATTGAAAAATAGCAGTGCTGTGCCTACTGCATACACTATACCTTCCGTCAAGGAGCATACACCTCTGAAGAAATATGAGGTAAGAAATTCATAACTAATGATAATATATAAGTCCAAAGTAATTTAGCCCCAAAAAATGACGACGCTTTATGAATATTAAGTTTACAAATTAAAATTTACAATATACAGGGTTGTTACTCTACGCGTGACACCCTTTATTGAACTTGTTCATTATTTCGATTTATTATATTTGACTTTAATGACACTCACTTTGTTAGATAGATACTCTTTATTGTTTCCTCCAAAAGATTACAGAAGTAAACTTCTTACAAATACAAACAATTACAAGAAAAGATAACACTGAGAAAATAACGGGCGGCCTTATCGCTAAGAGCAATCTCGTTAGGCAACCTTTGGATTGAGACAGTTTGACCGAAGTCACAGAATTATGCTTGTTTTTTTTTTTTTTTTTTTTTTTTTTTTAATAAATATGAAGATAATACATACAAAAATGTGAATATATAAATGTACATTTTGTTTTTAACTATACTGTATTCAAGTATATAAAATTGTCTAATTACAGTCCAATAAGCTTTATATAATTGTACTATTGTAATATTTATGTGTCTTACAATGAATAAAATTTTAACTAGTATGGCAATTTTCAGGGCTGGATAAACCACTATAGATTTCCGGATTACGATCCTTATACATACCATATTAATAAAACAACAACAGCTTTTATGAAATTGGAAGGTAAGTGACTTGGTTTGACTTGGTTGATAAGATATAATAAATAAACTGTTTATAAGATTAAACTTCCAACTAACTTCCCGATAATGGAAAACATTATTAATAGTGTTAGATGTAGGCACGTCAAGTATTAAGTTCTCCATTACACTAACAAATACTTAATATACACCTATCAGATCGACCTCCACGTGGTTCTTCTTGGAAACCATCGTAGTTAATTCTTGGTAATTTCGTCCCTATTGGCCGACTGATTTGATTTTCTCCTTATCTATCATTTACTGGTGCCCCGCCAGCGATCACCAATATCATAAGCGCGATTACCATTCCATTTTGACCCTATTAAAAAATGCCTCAACACTCAATTTGGGAGTATAATCAAGGTCATGAACATATTTTTATTTTTATTTTATCTGTAATGTTACTAAACCCATATGTATGTCACCAGGTTGCAACTTGAGAATATCATACACAAGAACGAAGGTGCCAAAGAAAGCGTTGTGGGATGAAAAGATAGAAAACATTGTGTTTTACCAGCATAGACTATATAACTTGACTGGTGCTCGAGTCATACTATTACCTAAAGGACTTGTAAGGAGAAGGTATTTTTTTTTTTATTTATACAAATATTATATCTTAGTAATATAAATAAGGTTACTATTAATATAAATTTATTTTACAAAAATGGAGGTGATTTTCAGATAGAATTGATAAACATTATGCATTCTGTCTCTGATAAGGCGTGTCAATTAGATAGGTATTTCATTTCATTCGTCCATATTTCTGAACTAATCACTTCCACCTCCCAGCAAGCTAAGTTTGGGTAAGCGCGTGGTCGGGGTATTCCCCGATCGAAATACAAAATAATTTTAACCTATTGACTACTTGGTTTTTATCAGTTGCCATGCCTCTAACGCCTGAATCAAATCAGAAACTTTATATTGTAATTACTTGTTGTTAAAAAATCTTATGACAGGTAAAATTAAAATATTGTAAACTTTTGTTCCAAATTCTGTCTCGTATTTTATTTACTGTATTAATAAACAATAAATATAAATAAAAAATGGAAAACCAAACACGAACCTAAGTTCTTTGTCGGAGAAATAAATACGCCAGTAGAGCTATAGGCACGAAAATATTAGATCTGACCGGGGCGGTCAAAAGGTTAAGCAATGTCACATTCGTTTTTGTTTCTTTATTTAGGTACTCAATGATTTTTTAATAGGAATATTAATAATTTATTATTTATACATATTTTAGTAAAAAATGCACCGCTTACTTAATTTTCTGCCTGGTTCTTGGTTGACTAGTAGAGAACGCCAATAAGAGATGAGTCCGTCATATGTAAACTTACTTATTATTAATACTTATAACTACTTAAACATATTACGACTGTAATTTACCATTACTTACATACGTATATTATCTATTTTCCTTGTCTGTCCCATCCCCCCCCCCCCCCAATTACCTGTATAAATATATTGTATATGATGACATAATAATGTCAACATTATGTGATCGGAATATGTTTACTGATCAGGATAACAAGTAGCCTATATCCTTCTCTATTACATATAGTACGTGTATATAATTTCATAGTGTTTGATTAAGCTGCTAAGGCGCTATAAGAGAACAAACAAAGTTACTTTCACATTTATAATATTAGTATAGAGAGGCTTTAATAGCAAAAATTTTAATATTTTTTCAGCAGTCTAAACAAAATTATTTAAATATATCAACGCCTATCTAAAATAATTATAAAATCATGTTGTATTTATAGTAAAATAAGAAACAGGATTATAATTTTATGTATTATGCATTTATATGTTATGGCTCAGAACATATTTATTTAGCTACGCAAATCATGTTCAAGTATCTTACAATAGTATTTTATATCGTACAGTATATATTAACTCTGCTTTAAATAAAAACATAATTTGAATACTCGTTGACGTCTATAGCTATACATGTATTAATTAATTCTACTTTTTTTTACAACCGACTTCAAAAAAAGAGGTTCTCAGTTTAGTTGTATTTTTATATTTGCTACCTCAGAACTCCATCATTTATGAACCGATTTACAAAACTTTACTTTCAAATTGGTTCCATAGAAATATTATCAAAAACTGATTAGTTGATTTGTTATAAATCAAAATAACTGTTTTTGCCAAGATTGAAATCGGTGTTTTGGAGAACAAAATTTTAAATTGTGTTGCACAAAGTCTACTTAGATGTTCATTGTCAAGCAAGCGGCAACCTTCGCTAACAAACTGCTCGACCGAAAACAATTAGGTTAATGACCGTCTGTACTTCGCCCGTGTCTATTATCTACTTCGATCGCACGATATATTTTTTTTGTTTTTGTTTTTTAATAGATCAATATTCTATTGTGTAGATACCTGTATATTGAATACTATACATAGTCAACTGTGCTAAAGGAGACTCGTTCAAATATATACATTTCTTGTCGTAGTAGATACTTAATAAAAAATTCTTGTCAAGTGTTTATCGAGATTAAATGCTTTAAAATTACACCGACATAAAAATAATAATCTACTATAATACATGATTAAATATATACTACCAATAGCGTTTGACGGTTTGCTCATTTTTCACTATTATTTCAATAAAAAGAATGCCTAAATATATAAAAACAATTTTTATTTAAAATAAAATATCAATTTTATTTTAATTTTAAATTAACAATTTTATTGTCACATTAATAGGATAAATAAAAAAAAAATCATTTATCACAACGGCAACAGACAATAATTTATAATTATTTTCTATCAAACATTAGGTTTATCTTGTCTACTTGTTTCTATATACATATATTTACGGAAATATTGAATGTAATATTATATTTCCTTACCAATTTAATCATAATTATTTTTTGTAGTCATATTTAAATACCTAATTACTTCTAAGTGTTTATTAACATTATTATTTTCATATTATTTTTTATTTGAAAACTTCATTAATAACATTGATGAAATTTAAAATACTTGGTACTTAAAAAATATAATTTGCCTGAATTTGATCCGTCAGCAAATTAAATTAGATTGCGCCTTTTTTGTAAGGTATGTATAATTTTACAGGATTACTTGAAAGTAAATATTGTTTTATAGACAATGGAGCAAAAAATATCCAATCTGTATTATACTGAATGAAAAAGAGAAGATTCAAGTGTTAGAAAAAGAGAATACGGCTGCGGAAAAGAAAGTAGAAGGTGCTTCGGATAAGAAAAGTAAAGAGCAGCAACTCCAGCACGAGGTTGAAAGTATTGAGACTAATACTAGTCCAGAGAAGAAGAGAAAGTTTGTTTGGAGAAGAAGAGAAAAAAGGTAAGATAATATTATAGAATTTCTCAATAAAACTTAATAAAAATGTAAAAAAAAAATATAATTGGGCCAACTAATAGATAGTCTACTCATGTACAATAGCAGTATTGATTTGTGACTAATTTCGTTTAGAGAATGTTTCTAAGATAATTTCAACAGAACTTCGTTAATCCTCTATTGAAATAGACTTATTCTCAATAGTTTGGGGTCGACGTTAAAGGTTTTTTTTTTTTTTCTTTCATTCTTCTCTATTTGTAATCATTTCCGCATTTGCTCCTATTCTAAACATATTATCTTTCACAACCCATCCATGTCTTTTCAAGTCTTTTTTTACCCTTTTATTCACCTGTAAAACATTCTTTTAATTCCTGCGAATAATATAATATCGATTTTTGTCTCATTTATATATTAATATCATATACATATATATAAAGCTTATACGCAATTTGTAGGCAATTGCCTGTCATCATCTATACCTATAATAAAAAATAACTTTTCTCATACGTTTGTAACTATTAACTATCGTGAGTCATAGTGTATTGTAATCGGACGTCCCCGAGTTTAATACATAAGTATGAATGAGTAATTGTCGGCATCGACAAACATGATAAGTTTACACATAGACATAGACTTTTAAAAAAATATAAATAAGTTTTAAAAAGTATAATTTAGAAGTTTCGTCAGTTTGTGTATTTAAAGATAAAAGGTGCTTTTAACAGTTTTCATATAATCCAAAACTATTCGCATATCGAAATTTTTCAGAATCTGTATTTGATGTTTCACCTACATTAGGTACTGAAAAGATAATATTATCACGTTATCGTTGAAATTATTTAAGTATGCGTCACAAAAATTTTATCGGTGACTCAACCGACCGACTCTTACTTGGTGCTTCGGATTCAAAACTGCACACCAGAGGACTCCACCCTCTCACAAGTAGTTAGTTTAGTAATAATAGTTGTAATCTTATAACAATTGAATAAAAATACCAACATTGCCCATTAATCATTTTTTTTATACAACTTAGAATGGCAAACAAGCTGACGGCCCACCTGATGGAAAGTGGCAACCGTCGCCCATAGACATGAGCAGTACCATGGACATAACAGAGTATACTGTTTCGCCCATGATACCTCCCATGTGTTGCTATTCCTGAAGACTCAGGTGTTACTCCTCTGTACCCTGTAATGTCACTGCAAAGGACACTGGTTAAACAGGTGCGTAAGGCAAACAAACAAAATCCACATATATTACAAACTACATACATATTATCACACACACACACACATCAAACAATACCAACACACATGAATCCAGCAATACACACCACATAAAACTGCTCACTACACACAAAAAATAAAACACTAAACACTCAAACAACCACACAACATCCAATACAGAAACATTCTAAATATATGCATTTTCTTCTCAAATCCAGTCCCAACTAAGTGAGTTAGCGAGCGTAAACTTTTTTTTTAATCGATAATAATAGAATAGTAGCTAGCTTGCGCTATCAGTATACACTAACGAGGCATAAGTAAGGGATGAAAAGTAAAGATGAAGCAGGTTAGTTAGCCCATCGTGACAAATTCATTAATAAAACAATCACGATGGCCCAGAGGGAACCGCAATGAGATCGACTTAACAGGGTATATTATTATAGGCTAGTAATAGGGTTTCTAATCCCCATTTCCCCTTTTCCCCCTCAGCGTACACCATTAGTGCAATCTCACTTACCTTATGGGATCCATTCCTCTTAAATAACCTTAAAAAAATCTTGCGCTGTTGGTAGGTGGTAGCGAGATACTAATGTGGGATGATAATTGAGGATGAACGCTGGTCAGTTGGCCCGTCGTTAGGATTTAGACAAGAATTAACAGTAATTTCTAGGAGGTACCACGTGGATGTCGACCGCACTGACAGCTGTTAGTTCTCGTTACTAATGAACCCTTCCTCCACTAACGACCAGTAATTAATTTTTTTAGTGCATCTCATTCTGATGGAGAAACAGGAAGAGAAGGCCTACGACATAGACTTGTTAGAAAAATACATAGAGGTAACTATAATTTAGTACTTAACGTCTACATTTAAATGTTTAACAATTGTTAACTCCTATTTAACATTTATCTATAAAGTGTTGTGGACTTGACACTTAAATTGGTGAAGATATCGAAATCTTAAACCGATTTCGATGTTTCTTTTTGCATTTGCTAATGTTCATACCCGTTTTGGTACGATATTTATACATTTACAATAGAAGTAGCGATTTTTTTTTTGTTTATCGAAATGTTATTTTGTAATATAATCAAGTGTCAAGATTTATACCTGTTTATTAACTGAGATTATTTTTAACATGATAATATGATTAATTAAGCTATCTTTTATGCAATATCTCAGATAAGAAGACAGACAGTGTGTCGACATGTACAGAACCCAACGAAAGCCAAACTCCATCAGAAAAGGCGATCCATTTCGAAGAATCGTCATTTTTCGACGCGGAAATGGATCTCACCACGAAATCGGCCACCAGCACGAAGGAAGACGACGAAGAATTGGATGAGAACGAGCTGAGTAGGATTAAGGAATTTCTAGAAGAAGCTGTAAGTAGAAGGGATTCCAAACATTTTATTTTTATATTTTAACAAACACACACTTATATAACAAGTTTCTATTTATTATATAAGTAATACACAGCAATTCAAGGTAACAAACATTGTATAATTGAAATTTAGTATTTAAATTTACATTGTAGATTTTATCGTGTGAGTTCATGAAACATAACCATGCCAACCAATAGCAATAAAATCTTTACCTAATTACAATAGGTTTACTGTCTATTATTTGCCTCTGCTTAAACAATGGTTGTGCGATTATATCTATTAAACATTATCGACTAGCGGTATTTCACATCTTTTCTCGTGCCAATTAAAATAAATAAAGTATCTTGTGTTAATACGAGATATGGTTTATATGTGTACCAAATTTAATTCAAATCTGTTCTGCCTTTTAAACGTAACAAACATTCAAATCTCTTTACAAACTTCCACGTTTATAATATACATTATTAGGTAAATAAATTATTTACTTATACTAAAGTTTTTTATTTTACCTGTAGGTTTTATTCGAGATTGTATCATAATTTAGTATCAAAAAAATCTATATTTCTTTGTTTTAGGAACTGGATACAGCCACCGAAGGCAACGTGGAGGGCGAGTGGAGCGTGCATGTAAAACATTCCAAGGACAAACATTCACACTTGTACTTGTTCACACGCACCGGCCGCGATAAGCATGAATGGTCTGGTATATTATGTTTGTTAGGGTCTCGGTTCAATGCCTAAGCAATTATTACAATTTCATTATTTATATACATAATTACATAATTAAAATACATAATTATTCTAATATTATAATCTAGTTGTTATCCGTGTGTAATGTCCACGTGACTTTTTTGTTAATGTAGTGTACTGTTGTAAAATATACTTCTTTCAATTAAAAAAGACTTCTGAAAAGAATATTATTCGAAATTGCTAGTTAATATTAGCGATAAACGATTAATCGTTAAAACTAATTTCACCACAGGTTTCGGCGATTAAACACCGCCATATCAGAGGCTAACGCGTCGGCTGACTCGTCTACAGTTGAAGATAAATCGGTCAACGAACCACCCGTCGAAAACAAGGATGGTATTGAAATGGCTGTATACAAACTATCAGAGAAGGACACTGTAGCATTCGCCAAGACTTCAGTAAGTTTTATCATGTTCGGTCTTAAACTATACTTTAAACACACATTGCTAATTCATTTTGGGATGCGCCATAACTATTTATAATAATTAATTTATAGGTTTAAAAGAATTAGCTAATTGAGTAGCAACAATATTAGAAAACAGCAATAAACTTACATAATTATTCACTATTGAACACAAATACATTATTTTCCCTCCAAAAGATTACAGTTACAATACTAAGCAGAAAACATTACTCGAAATAAATCACATAATAACAATTGGTATCCTTATGACTAAAAGCGATGTCTTCTAGGTATCCTTTAGATGAAGAGAAGTAATTGCAAACAGTTTGGCAGAAAATACGTCATTTAACCCTTCCATAGACAACCGCAAAGAATCCTGATTCCCTGGAACGCATTTGGTATACATCGAATTGGTGGTCGCTTTGTATTTTGTTTGCTTTACAAACTCGTTAATCGAAATATTTCCTTTTTTTTTTTCACTTGCTGTTTTTTGAGCTATTAGACCGACCCATTGCCACTTTAGCTTGTTGATACTTTGGATTGGTATGCCCGATTTCTGCGGACATCTTAATTTTGGTTTTTATCACGTATTAAACTAACACTTTTTCTTAACTTCAATATTACATCACTCGTTATTGTGTACCAATCATTGATATGTAGTCTAATCTTAGCTCGTAATAAAGTGGTCCTTCGAACCGGATGTTTTCATTACTCTTTACGTTTCCATTCTTTATTCACATTTCATTTATTATTTATTTCAAAACAACTGACAATATATCAATATTCAATATTTAAAGAAATAGGATAATTAACTTACAATTAAAAACCCTTTTTATCGCTTTTATTACTAATTTATTCGCGATTCGATCTACAAAATAAGTAAATGAAAAATCATATTGACAAAACTAAAATATAGTAAACTAAAGGGTACAGATGTTACTGACATATCATTAATTCCTTACATACTAATATATAATTATCATGTGTAATAAGTATGTAATATGTATCTATTCTTAACATTTACCTCTCATGTCATATTCTATTTACGCTTGGGCAGTCATGCTTTTCCTTTCCGCTTCATTTATCAGGACTTACTGCAAAATCTTTCATACATTTTATAAGGGCATATTATATTGTGTTACATATAATAAAACTTTACTAGGTTCTATCCGCGACTTCATTTACGTGACCGGAATGATGTTTCATAACGATTGTGCAACCCGTTAAGTCGCCAAACAAACAAACTTATTTTCACGTTTATAATATTAGTAAGGATTATATTAACAATTCTGTTTTTTAATATATATTGGTTTGACTAGACCAAATTCAATGGAAAAAAATCACTCTGTTGCACACTCTCTAGTGTAACTGAAGGTCAATTAAAAAGAAAAAAAACAAATGAATGTACGATAGTTAGTATTTGGAATAATACAGAAGTAATCCCTATTACAAAACGGAAGTATTCCACTGAAGTGTGGATTTTTTATCCCTCCCTTATCAAAGTATGGTCTTTATCAAGTTTTGTTGCTTTAAAATTTTAATTATATTTTGTATAATTATTATATGGATTCACATAACATGTTAAAATCTCTAATTTTAAAATCACATCAATTCATTCCACACAAATTTGACTTGAATATAAATTATGAAAGTATTGCATAATGATTCCAAATACATGATCAGTGTAAACACTATAATAGTAAGGAATGTAATTATTCACACTGTATAAATAGCTATATGTTTACAGAACAAAACAAACGACACAATATCAGAGGGTGTGACGATAACGTCGGCGTCACAGCCGTTATCGCCCGATATGGAGACCTACGAGAAGAACTTTTGGCCCTATCTACTTAAAATTATACAGGTGATAATATTTTTTTTATTATATATAATATAATGTTCATTTATATTGTTTATACATTTGAATCTCTAAATAATATAATATTTACATACTTTTTATTATAATTATTTCCAATGAAGTTAGCATCATCGTGATATTAACATACCAAATGCAATATTTTTTTAAATAATATTTCTATTTATTATTATTATTTATTATACTAAACAAATAGGGTAAAATTATAAAAGGGTAGTATGCTTGTTTGCCACCTTTGTGGTATGAAAAAATAAAGGGTTTTCCAACAATCTGTATAAAGAAGTATTATTGCTTAATATTATTTTTTGTCTATTTTATTATTAAAGGCCAAGTATAAAAAAAAGAAAATGTCAATTTCGAATAAGAATTGATGTAATTGCAATAGGAAATAATATAAATAAAATGTTCCAAATAAGAATTATACTTCTGATTTGAGTGCTCGATGCTCAAACCCAGTTTTCATAAGGACACATTATTTCAGTGATTTATTGTGCTTGTACTGAATAAATGTATACTTTATAGTCGCACAACGTAACACACAAACAAACATCAAATGTGGGTGTGACGTGTCAAATAGAACCGACTCCACGCGAGCGTTCTAAGAATAAAAAGAAGAGAAAAAACGAAGTACTTACTACTTAATACTTAGTACCTTCTTCTCTATACCTGCTTAGTATTGCTATTGAAATGTACATAAAAGTATTATTTATAAATATATAACTGGTAAAAAGTAAATTTGTGTCAAGTCTATCTTAACAAGAGGCAAAGGGTGGATAGGACCTCGGGCGCAGAGTTCTAAACGATGCAACCCGACTATATATCTATTTAATTTTAGTAGTAAATATTTAGAAACATGATACATTTTTGTATAGGCAGTAGTATATACTTAGAATACACATCAGAGGGCTGGCCGTTCCCTGATTGGTAGGAAATGATTAGAAGTTACCCTGTATATAATTATTTGTATATAGTTACATTAGAATGAGGTAGATTGGGGCGCCATCCACACATTATGTTTAATAGTATTGTTAATGATTTAGTTCAGTAATAAAGCACTTTTATCTTATTCAAATTTGTTCTCTAAATGTAGTTATTTTTTTACGCCACATTAATTCAGATAATTACATTTCTGTTTTGCCAAAGGTTGACTAGGAGAGAATGGTATATAGAATTAAGTCCGTCTTTTGTACCAAACATTTTTTTGTAATGTAGTCAATAAAGTATAAATAAATAGAAAGTTTTCAATTGAATTGTAAACGAAATGAGGTCTTAATTTAACTTTTTTTTTTATACCACTGAGGTGGCAAACAAGGATACGGCCCACCTGATGGTAAGTGGTTACCGTAGCCTATGAACACCTGCAATACCGGAGGTATTACGCGTGCGTTGCCGACCCTGAAAAAAAACTTCTTTACCCCCGTTTTGAAGAATGCTGTAGACTGTAACTGTATATTTTATTTAATAACTTTAAATTATTATGTAATTGTTTGCCAATTTTGACATTTATATTTTTAGTCAAAAGTACTTACTGGTCCCAGGCAAATTCATCAAGAATAAAGACCGTTACTGTATGAAACAAAATTTTAAATTCTATTTCATGTGTATGATCAGCCAAAAGGCAGCCCGCGCGAGTGCGAGTGTCGCTCGCTGCCCGCGGAGGTGTCGTGGGTGAACACGGTGCTCGCGCGGCTCGTGTTCGACGTGATGCGCGACCCCGTCATGATCAGCAAGCTGCAGGACCGCATACAGAGGAAACTCAACACCCTCAAGGTTGGTCTTCATCCTCTCCACTTCTACTATAACAATTTTTTTTATACAACTTAGAATGGCAAACAAGCTGACGGCCCACCCGATGGAAAGTGGTAACCATCGCCTATAGACATGAGCAGTACCATGGACATAACAGAGTATACTGTTTCGCCCATGATACCCCCCATGTATGCCATTCCTGAGGACTCAGGTGTTATTCCTCTGTACCCAGTAAATTCACGCCATATCCCACCCTTCAAACCGAAACACAGCTATGTAAACACAACTGCTTCACGGTAGAAACACGAATGGGACAGTGTGATAGTGTTGCCCTCTGGTGTTAAAAGTTTGAAACAAGAGAAAAATGAAATAGTGCTCTGTCGATATCTTATCTTTAATTTGCATATGAAGCTAAGCCGTTGCATGTCGACCCATTGGGATCTTTTGTTTCCCCCTGCCATGTACTATATAGAACCTATGCGATATGCCACGATTTAAGATATCTATAGTTCCTTGGCTCTGGATAAGCCAATCCCAGTAGAGTCATATGCATACTTGCCAATAAATCAAAGTTCCCTATTAGGTGTTTCATGGATTCCGATTCCTCACTGCACAATCTGCAAAGTATGTCCAAAGATATGAGTCTTGCCTGTTGTCTGCCACCACTGTAGATGAGTTTATCCTCTCCCTCAGCTGTCACGCTATCGATATACTATAGTGTAGGGGTACCAGTGCATGATGATGAATATTGATGAAATCACCGGGAATTAATCGATGGTCCTTAGGGAATACCATACGAAAGTCTTCGTGGTTGGGGGTTTATTGTTAACAATGAGTCAATCATTGGCGTATTTAAGATTATTTTCCAGGGTGTTGTCTCTAATATTATTTTATGATACATAGAATGGTAAACAAGCTGACACAAACAGTTGCTTCACGATAAAACCATGGATAGAACAATTGTACGGATAGTCTCCATTTACTGGCAATATTGGGGTATGTCGCGTCGATCTTCACGCAGTTCCCCTTGAAAACCATTGCAAATTCTTAATTCATTGTCATTACATTAAAAAAAAATATTACCCTTCCTTATGTTAATTATTTTTTTTAATGGATGACAATGGAATTGTTACCTCACCTGCACTAACGGTATACGCTGGCGGGGCACCAGTAAGGGATGATAGGTTAGAATGAAAACGCAGATCAGTTAGCCCACTGTGATATACTGTGATAACCCACGATAGGATCTAAGCTTTTATTATAATTATAAGACTTTGAATTAATCGAGTGATGGTCACGGAATACTTATATGTACTTTATTTGATAAAATACTTTGTCGAAATGACAATTAACGTATCTTCACACCAGATCCTGTACTAGGTAGACTGGTGAGAGCTGAGTGCTAAATATATAAACACTACTTGTATTTAATAGATGATAATGAAATGGTAACCCCGCCTGTGCTATCGGTATACGCTGGCGGGGCACCAGTGAGGGGTGAAAGGTGAGGATGAAAAAGCAGGTCAGTTAGCCCATCATAATGAATACACCTGGAATTCAGCACAAAGGTTTCCAGAAAGGGACCACGTAAAGTTCGACCTGATAGGGTATTTTACTAGCAATAAGTCCACATTACTAACAATCCCTTCCCCCTTTATGTTAATCGATTTATAATGTTACCTCGTGTGGTATATGGGCAGCTGCCGGCGTTCATGTCGCCGCTACTGGTAACGGAACTGTCGCTGCGCGGCGCGTGCCCGCTGCTGCAGCGCGTGGCGGCGCCGCGCTGCGACGAGCGCGGCGTGTGGCTCGACGCCGACCTGCGCTACGACGGCGGCGCCTACATCGCGCTCCTCACGCAGATCAACCTCATGAAGCTCAAGGAGAAGAGTGAGCAATCTGTTTCACGCTATTATTGGCGCGCTTGCGACCGTATACGTATCTATTATTACAAAATGTATCAAAAACTTAACACCCTACTGACCGACTCAACCCACTGAAACTGCATAGAAATGTTGCATCTCTGTGCATCTTTTACCGAATTTATCATGGGGAGTGAGCAGAGGTGAGCTCTGAGGAATTATTCGGATACCCGCCACAAACTAAAGCTCCATCCCAACCATCTGGATGAATAGCGGTCTTCAACCGTGCGTTTTTTAAGGCACTTTATTCCACGCACAACGACTCTTTGGAATCAACTTCCAAATCTCTATACATCACATTAATGTCTCTATACATCACAATTTATTAGAAGTGGCTATATCAACTTGAAATATACACGTTACCCCATTAGTTAGTTCTCTGTTTAGACCATAAGATACTTTGCGTAAAGATAAATAAAAATCTAACCTTCCAAACAGATAACATACTTTATTCAATATGGTATTTGTTACAGATATGACTTTAGAAGAACAGCTGTTAGCGACAGATGAAAACATAGTTGAACACGACTTGAACACATCAGTGACGGGTGTTGTGTTCTCTGAAAAACAATTAAGGGTTAGTAATGCAATATGCAGTTCAATATGAACCAGACTATAAACAATAACCTTGCCCCCTACACGAGTGAAAAACTACGGTAGACACGTTTTCGTTACCGCACGCATGAGTCAAACCGCTGTTAGTGTGAACTTAATGTTTTTAACAGTGTAGCGATTTAACAGCTTATATTCCAGTGGTTGCAGGTTTGATGTCCACACAAGTCAAACGTTAGTATTTATGAGTATGTCTGTTCTATGTATTTTCTATGCATAATTTCTATGTATTACAAACAGAAAGAAAAATTAAGTAAAATATTTCTATCTATTGTCTTTCATCAATAATATAAGCTCTGCTTAATTTGGAACTTTATAGCCACTTTATAATATATCTAACGATATCAATTTATTATTTATGAAGCTTGTTTAAAGTTTGCCACTTGTTAATAAAAATGAATGTAATTTTGTTTTATTTACATAGAAAAGAAAGCCGGCCATTTACGACTCGGAGGTGGAAGATTCGGCTGAGTCGAGTAGCGACGACGAAAGTCCACCACTACAGCCTGTCGATAGCGCTGATAACATACCACTATCGGACGCTGCGTAAGTTCTATATTTTTATATATATAATAAAATAAGATCGTGTTCCACAAAAACAAAGATTTTTTTTATACCACAAAGGTGGTAATTAAATATACAGCCCATCTAATGGTAAATAGTCACTGTAGTGAAACTGACTTCATTTGTAGCAAAACCAGATATATTAATATTAAAAACTATTCGTGTTTCTACTGTAAAGCAGTTGTTTGCATGGCTATGTTTCGGTTTGAAGGGTGGGATATGGCGTGAATTTACAGGGTACAGAGGAATAACACCTGAGTCCTCAGGAATGGCAACGCATGGGGGGTATCATGGGCGAAACAGTATATTCATGTCCATGGTACTGCTCATGTCTATAGACGACGGTTACCACTTTCTATCAGGTGAGCCGTCAGCTTGTTTGCCATTCTAAGTTGTATAAAATAAAAACTACTAAATAGATTTTGATAAAATTTCTATATGGATGACCAATCTGTAAATATATCCTTACAGATAAAAAAGGATTTTCGAAATTGGTTTACAACTAACGGAGTTATGAGGTAACAAACAAAAATATATCCATATTGACAATCTTCTTCTTTTTGAAGTCGGTTGAAAATAAACCAGGGTGAGACTGTACAAAATATATGTAATGGGTACCTCTGTCCTACTCGGATTGCTGTCACTAAATAGCTAGCTATGCTACCTTTCCATAATCAACTATGGAGCTATGATTGCTATTTGAATTTTTAAATAAGCTTTTCTTTTTTTTTAGATCAACAACGACTGAAGGTGGTTCCTCGAAAAAGAAGTTTTTAAGAATGGTTGATAAAATAGCAACAAATAAATATTTCCAACAGGTACAAATATTCCATTATTTATATATAATATTGTAATTGTGGACATTTTATTTGAATTTGTATTTTTTGATACCTGTATCTCGCGACTTCTTCCGCATAGATTAGTATATAAAGTATTCTATGTTTCAAACTAGGATATAACCTACTACATACCAAAATTCATTCAGATCAGTAGCCTTTACATGAACTAGTAATAAACACCCATCCTATACAACTTTTCGCATTTATAATATAAATAGGATGTATCCTTGTTGATATTATTGTTGTCAGTGTGTTTGTTTGTTGCCACTTGATGCTTTAACGACTCAACTAATCTTTAAGAAATTTGGTATACAAGCACTATTTGAGATAGAGAAGGACTTAGATAACTATTTAACCTCAACAATCAACATATCCTGGTACAATAAAGCATATACAAACAAACAGATCTAATGTGTACCGTACATGTGCAGGTGACAGACTACAAGTACGTGAAGAGAGCGATGGAAGGCCTGTCCAACACAGACATCAAACTACAACTCGAGCTGCATGGACTAGAGGGTCGGCTGGCCGTCAATCTGCCGCCACCGCCGCACGACCGTGTGTGGATCGGGTACATATTTTGTCTATAAAGAAATCGTAAAGGGCGAAAAGCCTTTATTAATTCCTGTCCCTTTTAGAGAATAGGCAAATAAACCTATCAATTTTATAGAACGAGATGGCTATATCCGACATTTTGCTTTTTCTCATATGTGAAGAAATGATAGTGTATCTATAGATAAATTCATTTACCACTTGTCTAGAAAAAGAATTTAACTTTTTCGAAAATCTTCAAAAAACTTACATTAACTATTAGCAAAACTCCTTAAATAAAACTTTTTACTTTTTCTTTTGACATAGAGGTTTGACTATTTTAGTAATTATTGCAAAGGCTTGCTTATGTATCTATATAAGACATATATGTGACTATAATTCCTTTAATTTTTATAACTATATAACGTCGACTTGTATCTTTGACTTATTCCGTATTATAAAACTGCAGATTCCGCACAAACCCGCAACTAGTGCTGAAGGCGCGGCCGGCGGTGGGCGCGCGAACACTACGTTTTGCGCACATCTCCAACTGGATTGAGCAGAAGCTCAGCAAGGAATTCGAGAAGGTTCTCGTACTGCCCAATATGGAGGACATCATTATTGACGTCATGACGCCCACGCCCGTCGAATTCGAGTAGACGTGCTATGGTAATCAGAGATCATGAATTGCCTGCTTATTCTATCGCTTGACAGGAACAGCCTGCTGTTTAATTACGGTGTCTTTTAAATTAACGCCACTGTCTGCGATTTAGATTTCTCGGTTTATATATTCATATAAAAAGGGTGTATGGGAACTCTTTCATGAAATAAAATAATAATACTTATAAAGAGTAAATACATTTTTTATTGTAATGGTAAACTACAATTTTTTTTAAATGCTACCGAATTTTTAAACACTCACGTAAAAACTACATTATCTATGAGGTACACGCGTTGTATTTTATTAAAAAAAAAAGACTGCAAAGCCAGATAGAGTCGTTACTTATAAATAAATAAAACATGACAACGAGACACTCCAAATTTATATAATTAAGAAAAAGAAGAATTAAATGTTCTTGCGAAATGCCAGTTTTATGAAGAGTTTCCTTCGCACTTACATATTGCTGTATTAGATGAAGAGTAATATTAGTAACAATCGGTAATCAGGTGTTATGTGGTTCATTGTTTAACATGTAAATGTACAACGCTGTTTGTAAGTAGTTGTTATAAGAGAGTGCAGAGAAATTAATAGTTATCTAAACTGTTCGTAACAACTGAGGTAACTAGAAGAAGTAGTACAAGATTAGTTTTAAAAATAGAATCAAATAAGTTTTTTTTTTATTTTGGTTAAATTGGATGCTTAAAATTGGTCAATATTTTAATTTGTTTTTGTCATCGTGACTTACTTTACAACCTTGTCCAAATTATTATTTCCTTCATCACAACTCTTATAGGTTGTCGCTTGTAAGGAATACTGAAAATAATGATAAGAAATATGTTTACCTACTAATTTTGTTCAATTTGAACATTTATTTACAAAAGACATTACATGGACAAGGTGTAATAGTCTCAATAAGGAAGAAACTATCTTAATTTTTTTATATCACCATGAAAGACATAATTATAATGACTAGAAGTAACTTTAAAGTTACGCGTTTTTTTACAAATACGTATTTAAATTTATTTTCGTGACTTCGCAATGTTAGGTAAATCGTATAGACATTTCCAACGTTTCGAGGTAGTTTGTACCGTGCGCGGAATAGACATGTCGGTACTATTTAAAATTGCTTCGCGACACATTTCGAAAATAAATTTAAATGTAATATTAAGATTAAAAATTATGATTTTAAATGTAGCTCCCATATAGATTAATATGGTTTGAATATATTCAAATTATTTTCAACGTCGAATATGTGTCACGTTTGTGCAACGATTGACAAATAACAAAATATATAGCCAATGTTGGTTGAACTAATATATGGCAGAACAAACATAGCATTTATACTAATTACACTTAGATATAAATAATTATTTTTGTTCCGAATGTTGAAATATTTTTCATATTGTATATAAATAAGAAATTAATTAAAAAATGTATTAATATTTAATTATAACGATTGTTAAAATGTGCTTGTGGTTTATGTATTAACTGGCTTATGTTATATTGTTGTATAATATTTGGAGTATGGTTATTATTATTTTCCACTTAGTGTGTACGTATTTAATAATTATTTTTTTAATAACTGAATGTATTTATGTACTAGTATTTTTCACGTTTATAAAACAAAGTGATTATTAGAAAAAGATGTTAGTAGGAAGCCAAAATACAATTTTTTTATTATTTTTACCGATAAATGCTTAATCTCCATTTTTAATAGAAAATATTTTCCTGTAATGTGTTGTCAACTAAAGTAAGATAATTCGCTTAATAATATTAAACGCTAAAACTATCTCCTGTCTAATCCAAAGACATGCAATTGCAATGTCTCGCGACTACGCGGATGTATTGTACGCCATTAATTCGAAAAAGAAAATTTTTAATGGACGTTGCGTGTACCGTTTATATTTTTAACTGAGGAATATGGATAATACTTGTCGGATGTTAGGAAAGGACCTCGTTTCCTGATACCCGACAAGTATTATTCATATTCCTCGGTTATATGTAGGTGTGTTAGATGCAACATGTAGCCTCAACGGCTTGATAGATTTTAATGAATGGAATGACGTTTAAGTATGTCTTAATTTTATAAATTCTTTATGCAACATGAGAACGGTATAAAATAAATATATCCGCTATGAGCTAAAAAAGGAATGCTAATATTATATAAAAGAATAGTCGGATTTTAGTGACGTGTCTACTACTGCTTGACTGTTTATTGTCAGGAGCTCTTTGCTATTCTTATGTACTATGTCGATGATGAATCTTGCCATGTGAATGTCAACGTTATCACTTACAACATACGGTATCAAGCTATTGTCATAAGATTTTTTCATCTAGTACCTAGTGAAAGTAATAGAAATTTAAAACTTAAAAAGATAATTTATATCAACATACTAGCAACAGTTGAATTAGCATAAGTTGTAAAAAATAAATAAAAGAGTGACAATAGCTATGCTATTCTGTACTAAATTTATCCTACATCACTTTTTCTCATTCTTTGTCTGCATCTCTATTACCATACTAAGATTTCTCATCGGCATCTTTTGTATAAAGTTTCCCCCCTATATTCTTAAAGAATCAAATTTTAATAAAAATCTTCCTTAGTGCTTACCTAGTTTATTCAAAGAACTGTGCAAAATTTTATGCTTCTAAATCTGTCGGTAGAGGTTGTACGTAGTCTTTCGTTTATTTCGATGTAAAGAGAGTAATAATGTAATTTTATATTTTCATGTGATTGGATTTACTCTTTAAATTTCCTCACACGTCTTCATTACGATGGGTCATTTCTAAGGCGTCATTTCTCTAAATTTATATCTAAAATTAAAATTTCAATTTAATGTCACAGCGGAATGTTTATTGTAAGGACCAATATGAACTAATTTTCTAATAGATTTAAGTCAAAATTCTTATAAGTTTAGTTTATGGTGGTCCATAAAACCAAATTATCAAATTAAATTCTTAGGTTAAGAGGTAAGAGAAATGGCACCTAAGAATCGTCCCCAGTCGTAAAAGATTAAAATCACACATTTTGTTATCTACCTTATATCATAAAAGTAAATCTTATGGTATTGTACCGTGCTACGTTAAATTATAAAAGTGTTAACAGACAACGTACAACCTAAACGGTGCTGCTGCAAATTATAAAAGTGCTCATTAAGTGTATGTAACGACGCCATTGTCATTAATCGTCATATTTGTGGCTTCGTCATTTATTAACGTCAAGTCTGTGAGCTTCCTATCGGTAGGAATAAATGTTTCGACAATAATTGCGTTACTTATAATCGCAGTATCAAATTTTATATGAAAACATTATAAATGAGAATTAAATATTTCTATTTTCAAACTTTATATTAGTATGAAATATCTAATATTTTTGTAACAAATGAATCCACATCATTGATGGTTTAAAATTTTCTATGGCATTTGTTATTTTCTAATTGGATGTTTCGTTTTAATTTCGTATTAATCTTTTCTCTCACACAGTTTGGGCAAATGCATTTTTTGGCTATAAATATAAACATTAATAATATATTTCATGAATAAGAAATTATTTATCGAGTATTATTAGTTTTACAAGTACTTTTAAAGAATAAGTCGCACAAGAAAATTAGAAACTCTTAATTAGCCTCTCTTATGTTATTGTCTCTTATGTTATGTTATTAATAACCGGATTTTGAGAGTGTGGGAGGCCTATTAGGAAAATTAAAGGATCTGTACACTATTTATTTATTACATTGTATGCCAGGTGCATGTAAACAATACAATTTCACTTATTTATTGTGCAATATTACAGCACTCGTATTCCAATATTGGATAAGATAAATTGGTGCATTATTATACCTAATTATGTGGTTTAGATGTGGGACGTCTTATGTGGAAGGCTCGTCCATATCTCGTATGGACATTTCAAAGGCTGACAATAACTTGCTCAAGAATTTGCTATCTTTGTATCTTGACTTTAATGAGCGGAAGGCAGGTTGAATGCTATGTAAAATAATCGAATTTATAATGAAGTTATAAATAAAACAATTTGAAGTGAAAAGGTGCGAGTAGTATTTTTTAGTGCAGGAGAAAATAGATTGCCAGTTTAATATTGTTCTGTGTATTTATATATAAGTTTTTTCTGCGCTTTAGTATTTTAATAATTTGAGTTTTAAGTTTTCATACTGCGGATCTTTTGTAATCATTCACATATAATGCCAAAAAAAAAATAGATTGTTACACTTTTCAATGATTCCGCACGTACTGTGTAATGAGGTCTTATGAAAATTTTGGATCAATGTTGTTCGTATACCATATTAATATATTCACTATTTGCTGTTATTACCAAATATAATGAATTTGCCAGAAATGTATAAATTTTTCCCATTTTCACTACTACATATCACAAATTATGTACCTGTTCTATTTTGAAGTTGGATCATCTACAACTTGAACATCTTTTACATGCCAATCATTATATTGAGGAGTTAATAGATTTTAATGCACAGTTTTTGTATATAAATGGTGTAAAATTAATGTTATTAAGCAGTATGGCAAACTAGAAATGTTTTCATGATGATATAGTCCTGATGTAAAGTATTAATTAGGACTAAAATTGCCTACATAAAATAACGATTTCCAATTGTACTAATAACCCCCTTGTATTAAATTAAAATCTAATTGCCATGTAGAGAGATGCATGATATGTTGTAAAGGGTGCAAGTTGTATTATTATAAATGTAAATTGAATATTGGGGCAAATTCTGAAATGGGATTTGATAAATTTATTTTTAAAATTCAATAGTTAACGTTTAAATGCATGAATTTTCAGATATGTAGCGAAAAACATTTCAGTGTCTGCTCCATATTGCAAGACTTTGAATTCCGATCCAATTTCTCTATGTACATATCGTTTAAAATATATTTTTTTTTTAAATATCTTTTGTTACAATATTAATAATTTTATTTTGTTTATTGCCCACGTAAAGGATATAATTTATGTTAATTTCTCTTTATTTATATAACTATTATGATCACTGAGTGATTGATAACTATTTCCACGGTGTACCAAAATTGAATAAATATGTCTATGTGTACATAGTTTATCAAATTATAAAGTGTTTATGTGATATTATATAATAGTTAAGAGTTAAACCGTGCCGAGTAGTTTTTCTATGTGGTATCATCTATCAGTTGTGATTTTTTTTTTCAGTAAATGAATTGCTATATTTAATTGCAGTTATCATTTCATCCTTTCGTCACGTACGTAAATAATAAACAACATAAGTTTGAAACTATTTTATTCAACAGTTTGTTCTTATAGGTATATAAGTTTAACATTATAAAATGTCAATATTAATTTGTTTATATACAATAGACACATCTTGGATAAAATATCGTTGTATTCTATATCACATATCGACAACTAACGTAGTTTTATACAAAAAAAAACTATATACTAATAATATTCACAAAGTCATATAAGCATAGTATATATTATGTAGGCACATATTATAAAGTGGTAATTGAGTCGCATAACAGCTGTACAATATGTTGAAATCGGTAAAATATAACACAAATATTTATACATTTTAAGCATAAGCATACTATATAGTTGACCACGAAAACACAGTTAAAATATGATTTAATCTATTTAATCGATTGTAATTTTCATCAGAGATGTGTATAATCTGTCGCCTACATATAATTTATTGCTCGAAATAAGTGCGACAGTTCCGATTCGTATTATAGGTACCTGTTTAAACTTAGTGTACAATGTTGTAAGATTTATTTTATTATACTTACTGATAACACATTTTCACACAGTTTCACATGAACCTGAAGAGTTAAAACATCTGTTTTTTTTTTTTATAACATTCTAAACTGTGCATTATTAGACCAACTTTTTATATGTACATAGTTCTATATATAGTATACATGGAAGCACTCAAAATATTTTATCCATTATATTCTGATAGCACCAAAGGACTTTAATATGTTTTTTTTCTTAGTTTAATAAATTGTTCATGTCATTATTATTTGTTAAATATATCAAGAAGAATCTATAAATATAATATAAGAAATAAATCGACTATATCGTATAGTTGTGCAGCAGATATTATATCAAGAAGATAGATATCAAACTATGAATAGAGGTACTACACTAATATGGCTATCAAAATATTGCTCTAAAATTAAACATTATAATATGTACAGAGATGAGATCAACCTTACAACTACTTATGAAGATCTGTATTAATTTTGGCACTCTGGACCACATTATGATTTACAATAAAATATATAAACATTTAAATGATAAATATAATTTGTTTGTACAAAATTGCATTGAAACGCAAGCTAAGTTATGGCAAGCACAAATATTATATTATCTTACTTCTTAATAGGATATTGAACATTATTTCTTTTTTAATACTTTTAAGGTAAATAGTACATTTTATTCTTTGATAGAGAAAAAACTATAGTCAAACTAAAGCATATTCAAAATATGATACTTTAAGATAATTCGTTACAGAAAAGTTTCTGATTGTTGAAAACTGCAACTCGTTTACTTTTAAAGACAATGTCAATTATATATTAGGAAAAGATAAAAATTTATTTAGAACTAGGTAGATATTCAAATTCTGATTTAATTTTTACAAGTAACATTAATCTTACAGCTTAATATAACTTTTTTAAAATATAAATATTATCACCATCAATAAATTTCTAATAGAAACTCAAAACATGTTCGTACCACATTCTTTATAATACAATTCCATCATTACACTACATAATTTTTAAGAAATATTCAAACCGTGCGGAGAACAAAACTATAGCCTATCACCTTCATGCGAGGCATTCCCTTAAAAAAGAAAATATAAGATGTTCATGGAAAGTATGCGCGCACCACTATCTGTCACATCACAGTCAGCACATATGAAATTGATGGACTATAGCGAACGTTGACTTTTCGTGGTAGACAAACGAATTAACCAACTGTATTCAGAATCGAATTTCGATTCTGTCGTATGGCATAATAATACTAGTATGTTACGGGCTAGTTGGCATATTTACATGGCGACAATTTTCACCTATCCGCAGCCTGTCGAAACTTGAACTCGAAACATATGCGCGAGAAACTAGCACTGAAAACTAGCATGTAAACTACCGACCTGCAGCGTTTTGCGATGTAAAATTTTGCCTGCAAAATTGTCATCGCGGCTTCAATGTTCAACAGTTACTGTGCTCTGTCCCTCTCCCCGCCCACCTTCATTCAATATTGCAGTAAGCAGTGCGCAGTGCCATCTGAGTTTCTCCTGCGGACGAGCTGTTCCCACTGGTGCAGGCGCGGTGCACAGACTAGCGAGTACCTCCCGAGGCGGCGGCGTGCCATCACGAGAAACTCGCCAGCGCCGGCCGCCGCGCCGCATGCGGCCGCCACGTGGACGTGCGCGTGTAGCGCACGGTCGCGCACGCTGCGTGATCGCCGCCGCGCACTCTTGCGGTGCGTGCTGCGTTCTAGGACATTATCCACTTCATACCTAGTGGAAACACAGATACAATTGAATATAACGTCGACAGAGGTATATTTATGTAACTTTTTATATTTTTAATGCTTTTTATCTTATAATTTTTTACACTATTCTTAAAAAAATACGAAATAAAATAATTTATCATAATAAATAAATACAAAAAATAACGACAATTATTGGCATGCAAACAAGTTTATCTAAATCTCAGGCTCGATTCTCACTAAAGTCAGTTTTGGAAACGGAGCGAAGTTCTCCAATATTTATATCTATCATTGATAAAACAAAGTTATAACCAATTTCGCGTAAATTTTATAGGTAATTTAGAATATTAATAAGTATATTTTTTTCTCGCATATATTGTATCAGTATCGAGTGTGCTAAATTTTTTATGGTAATAAAAAATATTTGTGTACCACATTATGCATATTGAACACTTGTGTACTTACCTATAGTAGTCATCATCGCCAACGCCTTGTGTGGCATCCTTGTGCTGGTCACTATGACCAGTGGCGCGTATCAGTTTGGTCAGTTTGACCGTCAGCTGTGTGGTGTCCAAGTCTTCACGCTGTTCGCTGCTTATAATCACGCCTCGGGACACTGCAACAACATATTGCTATTTTAAACAAAAATAAATTATTATCTAAAAATCCTAACGTAAATAGATGTAAATCTTAAAATAAACCACATCGGCATTTTGCGCGATCAAGGAATTGAACCAAGGATCACTATCAAAACGCTAATGCAAACGATCAAGATTAAGCTCGCCGGTTTAATTATCTCGCTAATACCTAGAAAAATTACGAGGTTTTTGGGTACAGCACATAATTGTACTATGTACCAAAAAAGTATATATAAAAAAACTCACTGTATAAACTGTGTACTTTGTACAAACGTGTGCGTTATAGCAACAATTTTTGTGTCAGATTATGTACTGCACAAGATTATCATCGAAATTAAAATTAAGGTAAACACAAAGGGAAAGTTTGTCGTCTTACAAACAAAATAACATAGCGATAACAAATCAAAAGCTACTAAATCAATAACATATAGGCAATTATTTTCCCGAAATAGTGCACATAATCGCTATAATAGTCGTTGAGATCACCCATCTAGGCACTATTTAGTTTTTACAGCTGCGCCGAACAAAAACGTAACCCGAACGCAATATATAGGTATAGATTTATTATAAGAATTAATCACTATGTCGCCATTGTCCGCGTCGCAACAGCTTATTGTCCTGCCATGAGTAAGCGCAAACGTAGCCGTATTTTTTTTCTATGTAAAGCTTTTGTTTGAGCGAGATAAGTGAATAGTTGTAAGTCTTTGGTAAACGGTCATCAACCCGCCGACCACGCCCCGACAGCCTGTAATTACGGCGAAGGTTTAACTAACGACCTATCAAGACTATCACGTCTATCTCAGCAATTAGTTCATAGTGTAAATACAATGTGGGGAAACATTTTATTCACCTTACATTTGTGGATAACAATAATAAGTTTTGGACGCCGATAAGACAACAGCCATATTCAATAAAACCCGTTCAAATCAAAATATTATACCAAAGTATATGTAATTATTATTTATTTATTATTATTATTAACTAGCAAATCGGCTTGGCTTCGCACGAGTTGTTCGAATTTTGGAAAATAATAAATCGGTCGTAAAATTATAAGCCAAATCCTTTAGAAATATGGATAAAACCATATCACGCCGACCCCAAATAATAATTGGGATAAGGGTAGGAAGATGATAATAAATGTATCTATCTATAAGCGAAAGAATTGTTAAAATGGATTATGCAGTTTTTGATTTCATCGATTACAAACAAATAATCAAAGGTTTTCTCTGATAATATTAAAAGGTTCAAGGTTTAAACGACAGTTCTAAAAAAATCTAATATTCTATCTCCCAAAGTATAATTTTTAAGGGTACTTATTTCCAAGGTACACCTATGTATTTAGTACATTTCACCACCATGCGATAAACAATCTTAATACCCTAACTGTAATTAATATTTACAATTTAGATACGGAGACATTTTTCATTATTCCTCTCCATACATTACCATAAAGTTGTCTTTCTTTAATCACACTTTCTAACTCTTAAATGTATTCCGTGACGTCTGTTTGTGTCGTACACGGATATAAAAAATACCAATAATTATTATATAGCATGACAAACAAAAATTTGAATGATACCCGGCGGAGGCGGCTAATAACGCCGGGATAGTCCGCGCCGGCCGCCCACCGCCCCGCGGGGAGCGCGGGCAGTGACATAACTCTACACTATTATAATTTATCAAATGACTATAAAAACTGAACATCAGATCCCCGCTGTGTTGCGTTCGCGTGCCTGCTGCCTCCATCACCGTACTAGTCTATCTAGTACTTGTCACGTCTAGTTAATGCACCCGTAAAGTCTAGTGTCCGCTCGTACGTCAACTCCTGTTGCGTACAAAAACTTCCGCGAATGCTGCATACCTATTACATTTTATCTCTTGGTAAAAAAAAAGTATTTTCCAGATAGTATGGTAACGTCTGAACCTCTGAAGAGTAATTATTTTGTAGTTACTTTTGAGGTGCGATCCTAAAATTAGTCGTTTGATGGGGTACCTCTATCTCATTCGTGTTTCAACCGTGGAATCATTGGTTTGCATGGCTGTGTTTTGATTTTAAGGGTGGGCTATGTTAGTGAATTTACAGGATATAGAGGCATAACACCTTAGTGCTCAAAAATGGCAACGTAGGGGGAGTATCATCGACAAAACAGTATACTCTGTTATGTCCATGGTACTGCTAATGTCTATTGGATACAGTTACCACTTTTCATTAGGTAGATCACCAGCTTGTTTGCCATTCTAAGTTGCATACAAAACATTCTAAAAATATGCCTCTTTTTTAACCATAGACGTCACCAGATACAAAAAATACCAATAAAATTAATTTATTTTGTATTTATTACTATTATAGAGGGTATTTATATGGCCCAGTTCACAATGTAACCTAGAGGCCAAACCGCCGAAACTGAAACGCTACTGAATAAGTTCCACACTAAGAATATCCTATTCATAATTGTTACGAAAAGAAATTAAGGTGTAATACATTTAAATTTAATTTCAGGCAAGGCGACTCTGTTTATGGCGACAAATTACCGTGCGGATTGCATGGGCGTGCGGCGCGAGTTTATTAACATTCAACCGCTCCTGGTTTTCTGCTTACCCATTACTGCGGCGGCGTAGTAATGACAACAATCCTCTTAATAAGGGATGCATGGACACAGCCAAATCAGTACACAGTCGTTTTTGATAAGGTATTATTATACATGAGATTTTTTATACGACAGAGAGTGGCAAACAAGCTGACCGCCCATCTGAGGCAAACGAGATAACAGCACATCTGATGCAGTGGTAAGTAGCGTTTATAGAAATTAATAATACCATAACCACAGATATTACTTCTACTACGGAAAACTAGTAATAGTATACTACTCTAATCGTGTCTATATATAACTTCTTAATCATACCACACTCAAAGGCAAGGCTCCTTTGACGTAGATAGGACTCATTACTATATCCTCAGATCAAACAATAACAATTTCTGTAAGATGGTGATGACATATGTACGTCACAAAAACTCTATCCCAGTGATAATATTGTTATAGTATATGGACTTACCGAGATCACTAGTGCAGAAAGCGAGTTCCATCTCAGAGTCCGAGCAGGGTCGACAATCAGCAGTAGCGGGATCGTAATGGCGCCGTACTATTGGCCGGGCCTCGTATCTGAAGGTGGCCACTCGTCTCTTTGGTCCGTCTTCAGGTTCAGCCTCAACGTAAAGAGCGGCTCGACCTCGTCTACTTCGAAAACAACGAAGTTCGCGGGGATCACCGTCGTCCGGCGCGTACAAGGGTACCAACTTCCGAGTACCTTCCACGAACAAACGTGCTGGAAAGCGCTCAGGGGATTCTGTTGGTTAAAATAAAAAAAGTTATGATATAAAAAGTAACTTGTATTATTTACTGATCTCTAATTGATACTTTAGGAGTAACTAACTTTAGCAAAATATTCTTTGAATATAATAAAATTACTAATATACATCCCATAAGTAATATTGGTAATTTTTATCCATAAGAAGAAATAAGTATGCTTAAATTAAAATTAGAAAGATATAAGAGCTCTAGAGTTCTAGACTGACATATCATTATTAGATATAGTTCGTGTACTATCTCAAAGAAGAGACCGTGTTCAAGTCCACTGTCTGGGCCACGGCCAAATGGTAACAGTCACCTATAGACCTGAACACTACGATGGACATAACAAAGTATATTTTGTTGCACATAATAACCTACATGAGTTGTCATTCTTGAGGAGTAAGATGTTATGCCTCTATACCCTATAATTTCATTGCTATATCCCATCTTTCACACCAAAACACCGCCATGCAAACACAACTGCTTCACGGCAGAAATACGAATGGAACAGAGGTAACGAAGCAAACGACTTTCGTACAAAGTCTCCCTCTAAAATGTATGTAAGTACGAAACGAGATTTAAAAATGATTGAAGTGGGAAAAAAGTAAGGAGATAGGTGCTCAGACACGTGTTATTTGATATTTTGCATTGGTTTAATTACCTGTTTCATTGAATCGTAGAGTATGGAAGAGGTCTGGTGGATCAGGACGTCGTATCACCCGCACACAGACTTTGAAGTCGCGCTCATCACCCGGCAGGGATGGGCGGAATAAAAGGCGCAGAGCTCCACGAGGGTAGAGCCACGAGACGCTACCTTCGCGGCACCGAAGGTAAACTGGAGTCACGCTTCTCTCTGCGCTCGATGTTAAGCCACTGCAAATAATTTAATTTTTTTTTAAGTAACTGCATATGAAAACATAGCATACTTATTACATCACGCTAACAAGAACTTAAAATTCTGTTGCACATTAAAATAAAATTATTAAGCGATATTATACTTCATTATAATATTTCTACGGGCTCGGTTCATTTACTACGCCTCGGAAGGTTGTTTTAATCATATTTGGACAATTTGATTGGGACACTGCCGCTACTGAGCCATCAATTTCAAAAGAAAGCTTATTAGGTATTCGGACCGCAGCGCGACACAACGAGCCGCCTTCGTTTATTTCACTCGGTAAAAATATTTAAAAAAATACGCTCCAAGTGCTACCTTTTTCGAAAGTAATTTAATTAAAATAAACCAGTAAGAAAGCGCCTCGTAAACATTTTTCTATATCGAACCGACTTAATTTAATTTCTTTAGTATTTGAAATTATACATGGTATATATGTAACTACATATATATTGTAGTTACATATATACCATGTATATATATATATATATATATATATATATATATATATATATATATAGCATGTACATATTTGCGAAGTGGCATTAGGTGTGTTAATATAACAAATAACAATAATGCAACAAATCTAGATCGAAAGCAGCCCGCAAGGGGCAGTGATATGAGATTACGGCACGCGAAGTGTCATTTCGCTTGATATCAAGAGAAGTGGTCTCATAAACAAGCCCCGAGCGGACAATGCTATCTTCGATCGTTGGCACGTGGGCTGCGATTCTGGAGTAGCGCCCACGCCCAGCCTACAGTCTCGCCGCTCACAAATACTCGCCATAAAACTAAAATATACGACACAGTATAATATAAAAGATGCCACGCACAGATTTTACATGGGTTTTATGCAATAAAAACAACATTTACAACTTATGACTGGAATATATTTCGATGTCTGTGTGGCCAATGTCTAGCAGGATAAGTAGTGTTATTTTGTTAAAAAGATCTTAAAAATATTACATAACTTAGTAAAGTGATTTTATCAGTTCAGCTGCTATTTTAAGAACAATAATATAGCACATTTCGACCTTCTCGTATAACCCAGTATAACAGTGTTAAATAGTATTGTTATTTTTTGTGTCTGTTGCACAGGTGCAGATGAATAGAATCTGTTTGCATTTGGATAAGAGCTAATATAGGCATGTATGTACTTATGAAGTACAAACGCCTTGTTATTCTGACATGACTTAATATGACTAATGCTGACACTGAATAATACGTATTATAAATATTTAGTCTCATATGCGAATATGTAACAATCAGAAATTATACTAGAGTACGTATATAATTATTTTTTTTTATATCGATAACATTGCTAAGTACAATAATTATTCTAAAAGTTTAAATCTTGGTATCGATGAGTTATTTTCAACTTGTATCTAAATATTTAAACAAAGTAAAGAAGTAAATAAACGAATCCATTATTGAAAACCTAAAAAAGAATTTCTACAAGTTTCTATTTATTTAAATTGGAACTGAGGTAGGCTTAGTACTTTATATACATTGCCAAAAACGGGAATATAACTCGTTGAAAATTAAAACAAATAAATTAATTAATTTTAATTTCGAAAACGAACGATCGAATTATATCTATAGCGTAGACCTTTCATCCGGTTCTATTTATCAGTAACAATAGCAATCACATGCATATGTAACACCATTCATCTTGTCAAACAATATTAAACCCGTTGCAATGCGAGAGTATCAATCACAAAAGAAACCTCAATTCATCGACACTTAATTTATTATGCAGTCTTCTTTTTAGAAATGTCAAATTATTATCCTACTTTCGTCTAAGACTTCCTTAATCCGCCCTAATGGTTCATAATGTTGAAATATGTGTGTGTTATAAATTAAAACTAATATGCAGGAACAAGTGTGTCTCATGTGGGCCCGATCGAGTCCAGCCGTCGCGACATACACTTGTCTACGTTTACACCCCGTAGCGCACCGGCAAGGGTAGCAGGGGTGAACAAACCTATATTTCAAGATGCGTTGGACTACCTGCGCCTTAAATTTTTTAAGTAACTATTATACTTATTATGAATATTATATCCATTATGACATAGGTCATTTAAGTAAAAATTAATACCTAATTGCATATTTGTTTACAAACATATCTATATGTTGTTTTAATCTTTATACGTTCTTATAGGTACTATTAACAGTACATCTACTTGTTGATTATAACAATTTACTATATATGTGGTTATACTATACTGCAGAAATAAATATATTTCAGAATGGCTAATGACTAATATGCTTTTAACTAACTTTAAATAAAGCGAAGATTCTCAATTGTAATCATGTTAAGTGATACCTACAAAAAATGTCAATGGATTTTAATTATTATAACTTGTTTATTTAAATTGTTCACGTACTAATTTTCTTAAATTTAAAGTTGAATTTTTTTATCAAAAAGTATAGAACTTTTACAGTTCGTTTGAAAAAGGTATGGAAGTAGATATTTACCTTAATTTTTCAATGGCACATTAAAATATTAATACAACTATTTATACTTCTATCTTTCTTCTTAAGAGAATTTTATAGTTATGATAATGGACAAGTAAACAAGACAGTTTACACGCTCATTAAAGTAACCACTGTATGCCTATCTCGACATCTGAATGCAACAGTAACTAACCATAACAACATAATATATAATATACATAACATAATGTAATGTATATCATTCCTTGAAAAGATAAAATTGCTATGACAAATACAAGTAGCTTATTTATAATAGGAATTCAACTGTATTTACTTTAAAAGGGCAGAAAAATAAATAATATCATCTAATACATGTACAACCATTACACAACGCCATCCAGTTTAAACTAAGTCGAGTTGGCATTATGGATGTCTGAAAAGTGATAAAAATACTTAAATATTTTTTTTCTGTAAATATATACATATACAAAATATAATTTCAATACAAAACCCCATCAAAAATAAGCACAATTTTATTGTCGTAGATAATTATCATAATAATGTAACTTGAGGACGGGGGGGGGGGGGGGATAAAAGGGATTGTTAGTAATTGGGTCCATCGTGGTTAATTATTGTTAAGTTCACGATGGACAAAGCAACTTGCTTTAATTATTATTCATCCTCACCTCTCATCCATCCCTGAATGTATACCGATATCGCAGACAAAGTAACCATTCCATTTACATCCATTTGAATAAAATACTTTAAATACTTCATCATCCTTATCTTTACCCCATTCATTTGAGCACCGAGCATTACGTTTCTTTTTTTTTTTAAATCAATATCTACATATTGAACAAAAATATTAAAATTGATGAAGATATTTTACGTGTAACATACGCACAAATAAATTATAAGCGAATTGAGAACCGCCTTTTAGAAGCCGCCTAAAAAAACTAACCTATATTAATCGTAATAAGGTGCTGTTTTAATTACTTTTGATATTATGCTGTTATTTGCCATCAAAATGTAAATTGGCATTAATTACAGGTATTTGAATAATCTGTTACATTATATACATATCAGTAGCTCATTTGATATGAAAAAAGTTGTAACATTAAGATCGTAATATAAATAATTAATAAGTCTATGATTCTTATTTATGTCAAAACAAATTAATAGAATTACTATATAAAAAAAATATCATAGAATTAGAAGAAAAATTGAATAAAATATATTAAACAGATTGGATTTCTTAGGATTGGATAGTTTCATGACATTTCAATGAAAAGGGAGAAAAGGAATGTCATTGAGTTTTATGTGACATTTTGCAAGTTACATATAAAATTCGATAACATACTAACATACGAGTATATATTGTACTACTACTATTGTAATTGTGACGTTGGTTAAAAAGATTTTCGTTGATTCAACATAGTAATCGTTGAATGTATAACATGGCGATCGAAAAAGGCGGGAAACGTTAAACTTGGTAACATTCTGAAGAATGAAACTAATATTAAAATACTTAACGCTGGCAATAATGGTCGTAAAAATAAAGATCGATTGCCATTGAAGAAAAGAAAAAAAAATAATACTTTCCAATAAGACTTTTTTCAACTAGTATATAATATTATCATTTCGATAAAAAAATCACCAAAATTTTACAATTGAAAAAATTAATGCCAACATAACTGTATGATATAATTAAATTTATTATAACAATCTATTATTATTAATATTTATAAATAACTATATATTTTTTTTCTAATTAAGTAGTAAAAATATGTGAATATTTCTATATGAGTAAATTAACAACTTAATTACAAGACAGATGAAAGAGTTGTACAGAACGGTAAGTATATAAAAAATATGAGCATTATCGAATAGTAAAAATATCTCCCCTTGTATTTGTAAAGGATTTAGAGGACCAACTCTGTCACTAGACGCGCTTTGGCCCCTTTTTATCGGCTCGCGCTAAAATAAACAAAAAAGGATACTGTTGTACATAAAAACCGCATAAGGTAATGTTTTTATTTCCAAACACACACAAACAAAAAAGGAGCTGAGGGGTGTTAACTATGACTTGTTGTTCCGCGTTTAGTTTCTGTTTTCGGGGCATTAATTTTTTGCTTACCCTGATGGAATCGAATAACGAGAATGCGCGCGCCACTCAGTGCATTCTAATTTCGTTTAGTCGTTATAAGGTTAAATTAGATACCGTGCATATTTACAATTATATGCAGTTTATACTGTTTAGTAAAAATGGATACATATGAAATTTGGTATTTAATATACCTATTTATTTTACCGGAGGAAGGGAGGCCTATTTTTTCTATCATGAAGGTTATCAAGTATACGGTCTGCTTATTAGATTACCGTAAATGATAGAGGTTGGTAACATTACGGTAGTCAATCAATCGGAACTTTCCTTGCTAGGAAATAAATAACCTCACAAGAAAAATATATTAATATGAAAATGCATAGGCATTCATTTCTTTTATCTATATATATATATATATATATATATATATATATATAT